CTTATTTATAATTACATTATTTACATGATCAGACGTGTAGAAAAAATTCGGAGGTACTATTTTGATTGTAGCTAAAATGTGGTAAAATGAATTAGTATTTCACTTCATTATAAAGATAGAGTCATTTGTACAGAAATTAACAATAAGTCTATGGAAATGAAAATGGAAAAATGGAGTTTCACAAAATAATTTTTTTGAAATAAACTTTTCTGCTTGATTAGTTATTAACTATTAAAAAAAAACATGCTACATTAATAATATGGCACTAAAAGACTAGCGATTAAATGAAATATAGCAGGCATTTGCGTCTTATATGAACTACTTTTAACTAGTAAAGTAAGTGCATATAATTTAAAGATAAAAACATAACAAACTTTGAATAAATACTTTAGTTAATTGTAAATATTGTTATCACAACTCATTAATGAAGCCATTATGTGTTAAGTATTATATTTATTTAACACAACAATAATTATTCTACCAAAGTACTTCATTAACAAACAAATTAAGTATGTGCCTATCTACAACATTAAAATTAAAGTAAGAAACGTTATTTAAGACGGTAAATGAGTCCTACCGTACGTAATAAAATATATAAAGTTAAAGTGCAATTCAATGAGAATGAAATTCTGGATTGCGAGCGACATAACAGGGTGAAGAGATTTTTCATATGAGATCTGTAAGCAAGAGCATGGGAAATAACAACCATGATTGCTTCATTATTTACCTAAAGTAGGTACATTAAATTAATGAGACATTTGAACTGCAAAAGAAATGTGTAATTTCTTTAGGACTGTCAAAGTTTGTTACATGGTTTGAAGATGACGTTTACCTTAGAGATAAACATTAAAGTATTATTAGAAATATAAAATAGCTTAACGTTTTTGTAAGTCGCTATTCGTAAGGCATAAGATAATGTACGGCCGGCTCACTGCACCTACAACAAAATTACGAATTTCTGCAATTAATATTGATCTTCATAATTTTAATAACTGGTAATATGTCAATCACAAGTTACCTAATAACTCCCATTAATCGCTAGTTACTATAAAGCCCAGTTTCCTCCAAAGCAGAGAGAAAAGGTTTCGTCAATTCCACATCGCCTCTGGTGGAGACAGAGTCTAATGTTTGTGTTAGGACTGGGTTCACTACAGGGTTGCTTGATTTAAATCAAGTTGATTTAAATCATGATTTAAATCACGATTTATATTGCATGATTTTTTTAATAAAAATCACTGATTTAAATCAAATGCCAAAAATGGAATTAANGGACGGCGATAAACAACTTAGGAGATAGAGGGTCACCTTGTCTTACTCCTCTTTCTATTTTGATCTCATCCCCTCTGCTTTCCAGTTTCACTCGGCTGATAGAGTTCGAGTATATATTACGTAATATTCTTATGTATTTACAATCTATGTCGCATGATGTAAGTGCTTCCCAGATAGAATTGTGGCTTATGCTGTCGAAGGCTTTGCAGTAATCTACAAATGCCACATATAAAGGTTTATTGAATTCTTTGTATTTCTCTATTACCTGTTCTAGAGTGTGTATGTGGTCAGTTGTAGAAAACCCAGACCGGAAGCCTGCCTGTTCTATAGGTTGTTTGCTGTCGATTTTAGGTGTTAATCGTTTGAGTATTAATGAGGTGAATAGTTTGTATAAGCTAGCTAGCAAACTGATCGGTCTGTAGTTGCCCACGTCAAGAGGGTTCCCTTTTTTGTATAGCAGAATGATGTCTGATGAGCACCATTGTTTAGGTATTTCTTCCGTCTGCAAAACCATGTTATAGAGCTTTGTGATATGTCCGGTTAGGACTTCCGATCCCAGCTTTATTACCTCATTGTTTATGCCGTCTGGGCCGGGGCTTTTTTCAGATTTTAGTAGTTTTATCTGATTAAATACTTCACGTTGTTCTAATGGCTGCACCTCTTCGTCTCCGTTGATGGAAGTTGTTTGTTCTTGGTTAGATGTCTGTTTGGTTTGTCGTTTGTAAAGATCCTTATAATAGGTTGTAGCTGTTTCTAAAACTTCTTTTCTGGATTTGGTTACTTGTGTTTTACTGTCTAATTTTTGTATCCAGGTTTTATGCATATTTAATTGTTTGTATGCTCTTTTTGTACTTCTGTATTGTTTAAGGTTTCTCTCTATAACTTCTTTCCTATGTTGCCTATGGTCTCTCTTGATAGATTTGTTGGTAGATTTGAATAGATTGCTTAATTCTGTTTTAATTATTTTGGATTTTGGTTTAATATTGATTAGTGTTGTTCGCTTCTTGATTAGTTCTCTTGTGTTTTCGCTTAGTATTTTGTTATAATATGACGTTTTTGCTGTTTTTTCTGATTTTAAACTGTTTGTTATAGCTTTGGTTATTTGGTCATAGTATGCTTGGACGCTAGTTTCGCTGGTTAAGTTAATTTCCTTCAACTTTAACTTAAGTTTTTCAGTGTACAATTGTATTTCCTCTTCGGTCTTAGGTAACTTTACTGGTGCTACAAAACCCTTTCTGCTTTTTTTGGAGCCGCATAGAAGTATCGTGGATCTCACCATTCTGTGATCTGATGGAAACCCTGTGTTTGTTAGTACCTCTATATTAGTTATTTGTTTCGGTCTATTAGTTAGTATGTAGTCTATTTCGTTTCTGTATTTGAAGTCTGGTGAGGTCCAGGTCCATCTTTTGCTTGCTTTTTTCTTGAAGAAGGTATTTGTTATTGCCAATTTGTATTCTTTTGCGTATTCAAGAAGACGTTCTCCTCGTTCATTTCGGACTCCATATCCATATTTTCCCATTATTAGGTTTTCTTCGGGTTTTGGTTGTCCTATTTTTGCGTTGAAGTCGCCAATAACCAATATTGTGCCACTCGCTATAGAATGAGCTTTGCCTAGATCCTTGTAGAATTCTTCTAGTTCTTCGTTGCTTGAAATTGAATATNTCTTTCAGTGGGGGCGTAGGTCTGTATTATTGAGATTTCTGATCCCTCGATATTAAGCGTCAGCAAAGCCACTCTTTCTGATATTCCTGTGAAGTTTGTGAAGTATTTCTTGAGAGCTTTTTTCACTAGAAAGCCCACACCGTGCAGACCTTTAGTTTCTCCGATATAGCAAAGAATGTGATTCTCGTATTCGTCTATACTGCAGCCCATTCTTCTTACTTCAGCTAAACCAAGTATGTCGAAATTGACGTTTTCCAAGGCATTGATAAGTTCTAGGTATCTTTCTGTTGAGGACAGAGATCTAACATTGTAGGTACAAACTGTAAGACGATTGTTCGGTGTCGTTGACTTTTTAATTGGAGGTGGAGGGTGATGGTCTAATTCCCCACGGGGACCAGCCGGGTTGGGGAATGTTGGGTTGTTTTTCCTGTCATTGGTTTTATTACTGTTGTTCTTCCGGTGGCTGATGATTCTTTCCTAGCTGGACGAGTTTGAAGTTGAAGCCTGTGTAGAGGTGAGGTTATTTCTGTTTCTCATTAAGCCGTCGAAGGCGTTAGTTTTCATTGCTTTTTTCAAGTGCTGCTTTTGAGGTTTTTTATGCTCTTGAGGAGGAGGAGGAGTGTTTGATGGTCCTCGTTTCCTTTTTTCTTGTCTAGTGTTGTTCTCTTTGATTATTAGTCTGTCGTAAATAATCACTGCGTAATTTCCCTTGCTTCGTTCCGTATGCATTTGCTCCAGCAGCTGTTTCCTTTTTTGAAGCACATCTTTAGGGTAATCTTCTGTTGCAAATATATCTTTGAGATGCTTTTTATTTTTCATAATTTGGTTTTTCTTCCAATTGTTAACAAACTCGATCAACACTGGACGTGGTCTACTTTTTTCTAAATCTTTTTTTCCTACTCGCATTATTTTATTAATGTCTCGGTCTTCTAAGGAAATATCCAAGCTTGTCTTGAATTTTTCTTTGATTTCTGTTAGTAGATCATTTTCGGGTAGATCTCCTTCTTCTAGGCCATGTATGATGATGTTGTTTTTCTTATGATGTTTTTCTATGCTCTTTAATTTATCTTTCAATTGTAAATTTTCCAATCGTAATTCTTCTAATTCTTGTTTAATAGGTGATAGCTTTTCGTCCATCTGAGACAATATGTCTTTGGTTTGGTTTTGCATCTCTATTTTAATTTTATCAAAGAGCTTTTGGAACTGGTTATGGTCACTCATGGTCACTTTACTTTTGAGCTCGTTTCCGAACGTATTTTGTTTTCTAGCAGTTGGTATTGACACTTGCAGTGACAGTTTAAAAAACAAAGATAGTTGTCTATGGCGTATAACCTCACTTTTTCACTTTTGTTTTGTGTTATTTGTGGCGAGATAGCGCGTTGTTTTTTGTGGTTTATTATCGTAATAACACTGGCGTGCACTTATTTCGGCGTTCTTCACTGTACGGCGCACTTGTGGTTGGTTTAAACGTTAAATGGAAATAATGTTTGCTCCGACAAAAATATGCGACTTTTCACTTTAACAGCCGGAACCGGAAAACATANAAATAATAGGTGTTAATGTATGAAATTGATGTTTTGAATAGAGAATCAGAAAAAAATATTTTTTCCGTACAAACATGTTTGCGATTTTTTAGATAACCACACAATTTATTTTTTTTGGTGGTGTTGCCAGCTCTATACATCAATTCTACGTAAATAAAAATGTTTTCCATAAGAAAAACTAAAGAAATGATCGCAAAACGTAATAAAAATCGTAAAAATCAAATAAATCAAAAAAATCGTGATTTTTTCTTAAAAATCAGATTTTTTTGATTAAAATAAATAAATCATGATTTTTTTCCACCCTGGTTCACTATACTATAATAGTCCAGAGATATCAACGGGGTTCGGAAGTAGCGACTGCCAAATGCACAATAATTGATTTATAATAGTTGTTGCAATTCACGAAGGCGAGTGAGCTTTACATGTGTGGTGGCTCGCTACTGTTCGTTTTTCAAAAGTTTTGATAGACATTACACTATAGTTATATGCATGCACACGTACACACACAAGTTAAAGCCACTCGCCTTCGTGAGTTGCAAGAACTATACTGAAACTGTTGAACTATTGTCGTGTAGAACCGGGACCTCAGTCTATCGATCAAATCGTGAAAAATTTCGAATTTTTGGTAGATGAAGTGCTGGCGATTGTACTTTTAGTTTATCAGATCTCACATTATCTGATGAAGCGTGGTCATTTAATGTAAGGCAGTTAGAAGGTTAGTAATATTGCCGATAGTGGTGGTAGCCGGCGGGAGGGTAGGCAGAGGCGGCGTGGGGTATATCCGGCGGCACGGCGACACCGCCTGCGGCCCTAGCATGCTGAGGAGCAGGTATGACACTAACGAACCTGACAGCAGCCCGCCGTTGTAGGATAACGTCATCATGTTACCTGAAACAAAGGACAATCATAAGGTCGTTAATGGTCATGTACAGTCACGGAATGAAAAGGTTCGTCAGTTTTCAAATTGATTCCTTCAACGAATCGCGAGCACATATTACCTTTTGAAACTATGTTACAGAATAATCTCGAGTTAGAGAAAATAATCTTTAACTGTTCGTCAGTAAAATTCAAAATTATTCAGATCAAAGTTGTTTGACGATTTATCTTGTCAAGAAGATTATGATTGATAAACTAAAACCTTCTTGTTAGTTCAACCTGCCATTATTATTTCTTTTAAATAAAAAAAACTATTGTCAATTGGTCAATGTCATCATTGCATTGCACTGATGGGATAGAAAAATAAACAAGCAAAACCTTATTCGTTAGCAAACGTCATATTTATTTAAATGTTAGCAGCACTGTTTCTTGCACTGTTATGTTGGCAGGTTTGACTCTTACAGTACCTAGTGCAAGCGAAAACCGACATTAAGGTGACGAACCTTTTCATTCCGCGACTGTACTCTTTTTAAGTTGCCTGAAGACACTGAGAGGTAAATAAGTGGTTAATCATGATAATTCATGCATAATCATGTATTTTCTCCGCTATTTTCTGCAGTTTGGCACCTCACGTTATACATCATTTTACCGAAGTCAGCCCTATGGCCTCGGCGCAGTACCGATCACTGACGTTTGTCAACAAAATGGTGCTCGACCCTTGAGACAAGCTAAATTACACCATATTGTTAATGACATTGAGCATATTTTTTTTTAAATACCTTCGCGAAGTAAACGTTCTGTAGGTACGTAGTACTTATTATTATTCTGTGCCATTAGGAAAGGGATCCACCCGGATCGTCTTTCGCGAGCTGTCATCGCCTTTCGCGCGCTGTCAACCGCGAGGCAAGGTGTTTATGTCCAACAATTTTGAAACATCAAGTGGCATAAATCAAAAACTAACAACCCGTATTGATAGTAGCGCCCTCCATAAAATGTCATAATCTTGTCAGAAGGTACCGCTTGCGTAAAGAAATTTCTCCAGTGTTGCCGTGCTTTGGGAGACTTGGAATGGTTGTTCAATGTGGCAAAAATTGGAACAATTATTGTATAACTTGTTGGCGCGTTGGACTTTCTGTAAGCCTTCAAGAAGATTATAAATAAATAAATAAATAAATAAATAAATCCAGTATTGTTAATAGCGCCCCATGCGCCATTTATGATACTAATCGCAAGCGTGATGCTCCATATTTACTTACCAGCAATTTCTCGGTGCTCTCTGCCCACTCGCGAAGGTGCCATTATCATCGGCACTGAGCCAAATAAGCCGTTACTAAAGCCCAACACTACGGAGAACATAATTGGGTAGACCTGTAACAAAAAAACGGGTTTATATACATTTAAATTGGTAAACAGTAAAATGTTATTGTAGTAAAATTTAAAGTTGTTCCTTTAATAGAGATTATTATTATTTTATTAAACAAATCATTTTTGAGAGAGTCTATTCTAAAACATTTTAGTTGTGGTAGAGTCGAAATTTTGTTCACATTAACCCTTGATTTTGCAGAAGACCACGAAGAAAATCGATTTAGTCTAAAGGAGATGCAAACTGAAGTGCCAATTGACCGCTCGCTTGTCGCAAAACTGATAACCATTGGGGTCGATGTACTCTTAAGTGGAATCCGCGTCTCAGCAAGCGTAGAGTAGGATGCGCTCTTCAGTTAGGAGGAGGAGCGATATAATTATAAGCACAATAAAATACCTATATGTATGAACATAATGAGTATAAGGATGTATACTTATTTATTTACAGTTGATCACAATTGTTATCGAATACCTAATGTATTTGTGCAAAAGTCAGGGCTTGAAATTGAAAAGCCTTTAGTCAGAAATATTATACATATAAGTTTGTTACAAAAACGGTCGTTAACTCGTTAATGTCCTACGCTAGCTATCGGAATCAAAAAACTTAGCGCGATATTTTTTGCGACATTCATAATTTTAAGATTCGGGTAATCGTCCCACTTTACCCTTCGTCGTTCGCCTGTTGGAAACATGTAGGCAACCACTCGTCGACACGCCCTAAGTCCACTCATAGACTGACGTAGTTTTCTGGAAGTGTGTAGAAAACGGTTTTGATAATCTATTATCTGAGAGTACCTACATAATACTGGGAAAAGCTTATTTTAATAAAGTGACGTACATTCGGTACATTGCTGAAATTGTAACCATATCTCTGTGCAACTTACGTTTCCAACGGTATGCGGGGAGTGCCTCGGGGCTGCGCACAGCAGTAAAGGTACCAACAGCAGCCGCACGCCGCTGGCCATCAGCAGCTGGCTGCGGCTCCACTCGTACGGCCACGCTGCTGCTATCATTACATCCTCACAAACTTTTGCGTGTATAATATTTGTAGGATTACTAAAGTGTGCGACTTACGTCTCCGACGATATGCGGGGAGTGCCTCGGAGCTGCGCACAGCAGTAACAAAGGTACCAACAGCAGCCGCAAGCCCCTGGCCATCAGTAACTGGCTGCGGCTCCACTCGTACGGCCACGCTGCTGCTATCATTACATCCTCACAAACTTTTGTGTGTATAATATTAGTAGGATTAATAAAGTGTGCGACTTACGTCTCCAACGATATGCGGGGAGTGCCTCGGAGCTGCGCACAGCAGTAACAAAGGTACCAACAGCAGCCGCAAGCCCCTGGCCATCAGTAACTGGCTGCGGCTCCACTCGTACGGCCACGCTGCTGCTATCATTACATCCTCACAAACTTTTGTGTGTATAATATTAGTAGGATTAATAAAGTGTGCGACTTACGTCTCCAACGATATGCGGGGAGTGCCTCGGAGCTGCGCACAGCAGTAACAAAGGTACCAACAGCAGCCGCAAGCCCCTGGCCATCAGTAACTGGCTGCGGCTCCACTCGTACGGCCACGCTGCTGCTATCATTACATCCTCACAAACTTTTGTGTGTATAATATTAGTAGGATTAATAAAGTGTGCGACTTACGTCTCCAACGATATGCGGGGAGTGCCTCGGAGCTGCGCACAGCAGTAACAAAGGTACCAACAGCAGCCGCAAGCCCCTGGCCATCAGTAACTGGCTGCGGCTCCACTCGTACGGCCACGCTGCTGCTATCATTACATCCTCACAAACTTTTGTGTGTATAATATTAGTAGGATTAATAAAGTGTGCGACTTACGTCTCCAACGATATGCGGGGAGTGCCTCGGGGCCGCGCACAGCAGTAACAAAGGTACCAACAGCAGCCGCACGCCGCTGGCCATCAGCAGCTGGCTGCGGCTCCACTCGTACGGCCACGCTGCTGCTATCTGAACCGAGGAACACAAACAATTGACTGCTACAGTAGAATGTTTATGAAGAACGAATGTCATTTGTTTATTCTAGTTTGCTTTATCTTTGCATTTTTATGGGATTGCGTGTTATGTTCCTGACTATTCCCACCTCTCATTCCCACCACTGCAACTCCTATGTAGCCAGGATTTACATCATGTTATGTAGGCTTATCCACTCTGTTCACTATTTAGATGCGGGTCTAAAGCCACAATAAGAGAACAAGTTGAGCAATATGTAATTGAAGCTAAGCTAAGCTGTCATTACCAAAAAAACTGGTCCTTAGTAAGTTCTTTTAAGCACAGCAAAGTTGCTGAAATGCTCTGAGTTGAATATAGAGATTCTTACACATGATAAATCTCTATAATGTTAGTACTTATTAAAAGCATCATTACACTCACCTTCCCAATAAAGTCGAACAAGTTGAAAGCCGACATGAGGATAATCGGCATCCAGGATCCGAGCCGGCAGGACGGCACTTCAGACGCGATGCCGGGGTACAGGCTTAGTGTGGTGAAGTACACCAGCCCAATAGACACCATGTAAGGGTAGATGGCGCGCGCCACCGCCCACCGGGCCAGCACGCCGCCTGCGGGTGAGACACGTGTAGACAGCTAGTGTCGAGGTGAGACTGATATAGTGTACAATGTACAGGGTAAACGAGTGAAGTACACCAGCCCGATGGACACCATGTAAGGGTAGATGGCGCGCGCCACCGCCCACCGGGCCAGCACGCCGCCTGCGGGTGAGACACNAACTCGTTAATGTCCTACGCTAGCTATCGGAATCAAAAAACTTAGCGCGATATTTTTTGCGACATTCATAATTTTAAGATTCGGGTAATCGTCCCACTTTACCCTTCGTCGTTCGCCTGTTGGAAACATGTAGGCAACCACTCGTCGACACGCCCTAAGTCCACTCATAGACTGACGTAGTTTTCTGGAAGTGTGTAGAAAACGGTTTTGATAATCTATTATCTGAGAGTACCTACATAATACTGGGAAAAGCTTATTTTAATAAAGTGACGTACATTCGGTACATTGCTGAAATTGTAACCATATCTCTGTGCAACTTACGTTTCCAACGGTATGCGGGGAGTGCCTCGGGGCTGCGCACAGCAGTAAAGGTACCAACAGCAGCCGCACGCCGCTGGCCATCAGCAGCTGGCTGCGGCTCCACTCGTACGGCCACGCTGCTGCTATCATTACATCCTCACAAACTTTTGCGTGTATAATATTTGTAGGATTACTAAAGTGTGCGACTTACGTCTCCGACGATATGCGGGGAGTGCCTCGGAGCTGCGCACAGCAGTAACAAAGGTACCAACAGCAGCCGCAAGCCCCTGGCCATCAGTAACTGGCTGCGGCTCCACTCGTACGGCCACGCTGCTGCTATCATTACATCCTCACAAACTTTTGTGTGTATAATATTAGTAGGATTAATAAAGTGTGCGACTTACGTCTCCAACGATATGCGGGGAGTGCCTCGGAGCTGCGCACAGCAGTAACAAAGGTACCAACAGCAGCCGCAAGCCCCTGGCCATCAGTAACTGGCTGCGGCTCCACTCGTACGGCCACGCTGCTGCTATCATTACATCCTCACAAACTTTTGTGTGTATAATATTAGTAGGATTACTAAAGTTTGCGACTTACGTCTCCAACGATATGCGGGGAGTGCCTCGGGGCCGCGCACAGCAGTAACAAAGGTACCAACAGCAGCCGCACGCCGCTGGCCATCAGCAGCTGGCTGCGGCTCCACTCGTACGGCCACGCTGCTGCTATCTGAACCGAGGAACACAAACAATTGACTGCTACAGTAGAATGTTTATGAAGAACGAATGTCATTTGTTTATTCTAGTTTGCTTTATCTTTGCATTTTTATGGGATTGCGTGTTATGTTCCTGACTATTCCCACCTCTCATTCCCACCACTGCAACTCCTATGTAGCCAGGATTTACATCATGTTATGTAGGCTTATCCACTCTGTTCACTATTTAGATGCGGGTCTAAAGCCACAATAAGAGAACAAGTTGAGCAATATGTAATTGAAGCTAAGCTAAGCTGTCATTACCAAAAAAACTGGTCCTTAGTAAGTTCTTTTAAGCACAGCAAAGTTGCTGAAATGCTCTGAGTTGAATATAGAGATTCTTACACATGATAAATCTCTATAATGTTAGTACTTATTAAAAGCATCATTACACTCACCTTCCCAATAAAGTCGAACAAGTTGAAAGCCGACATGAGGATAATCGGCATCCAGGATCCGAGCCGGCAGGACGGCACTTCAGACGCGATGCCGGGGTACAGGCTTAGTGTGGTGAAGTACACCAGCCCAATAGACACCATGTAAGGGTAGATGGCGCGCGCCACCGCCCACCGGGCCAGCACGCCGCCTGCGGGTGAGACACGTGTAGACAGCTAGTGTCGAGGTGAGACTGATATAGTGTACAATGTACAGGGTAAACGAGTGAAGTACACCAGCCCGATGGACACCATGTAAGGGTAGATGGCGCGCGCCACCGCCCACCGGGCCAGCACGCCGCCTGCGGGTGAGACACGTGTAGACAGCTAGTGTCGAGGTGAGACTGATATAGTGTACAATGTACAGGGTAAACGAGTGAAGTACACCAGCCCGATGGACACCATGTAAGGGTAGATGGCGCGCGCCACCGCCCACCGGGCCAGCACGCCGCCTGCGGGTGAGACACGTGTAGACAGCTAGTGTCGAGGTGAGACTGATATAGTGTACAATGTACAGGGTAAACGAGTGAAGTACACCAGCCCGATGGACACCATGTAAGGGTAGACGGCGCGCGCCACCGCCCACCGGGCCAGCACGCCGCCTGCGGGTGAGACACATGTAGACAGCTAGTGTCGGGGTAAGACGTAGACAGCTATAATGTCGGGGTGAGACGTAGACACCTAATGTCGGGGTGAAACGTAGACAGCTGTGTCGAGGTGAGACTGATATAGTGTACAATGTACAGGGTAAACGAGTGAAGTACACCAGCCCAATAGACACCATGTAAGGGTAGATGGCCCGCGCCACCGCCCATCTGGCTAGCACGCCGCCTGTGGGTGAGACACGTGGTGACTAGAAAGCTTAGTGTAAGTTCAGGGCGCTGTACAATCCGTCATACATTTAATGTCACTTTTTTACGCAGTCGACATTGAATGAGTTTGACTTAAACTCACTCTACGCTCCTAGTTCAGTGATTGTTTATTGTACAAAGCAGTGAAAGAATCCTGACAACTGACACAAATGACATCAGTGACACACGTGTAGCCAGTGTCAGGGTGAGACTGATATAGTGTACAATGTACAGGGTAAACGAGTGAAGTATACCAGCCCGATGGACACCATGTAAGGGTAGATGACGCGCGCCACCGCCCACCAGGCCAGCACGCCGCCTGCGGGTGCAAGGCAAATGTAGCGATGTCCTAGTTACGGTAGAATAGAACAAAACCACCTCCACTCTTCCCGTAAATATCGTAAGAGGCTACTATGTAATGTGTGCGATACAGGTTGAGTTTTTATGTTCTCAGAAAAAGGTAAATGGCATATGTGTAACCTGGTGATGGGTGATATCAGTAAAACCGATTCAATCAAATATACTCTATATCGTAACATTATTAGAATCAGCAGCTTTGGGTACCTGCAATCTACAAAACCTTACGTTTGCAAGTCTGTCACTCAGGCGTCTTGCCTCTACCTAAAAGGCAGAACAGCTGGACGCTTTATTTATGTAGGCAAATATCTATACAAGATGGGCCAATATTGCTCAGAAATCGGCTGAAATAAAGCTTGCAGGAGGAGCCGCGGCGTGCGCAGCACGGGCGGCGAGGCGGGCGCCGACGACTGCGCGCCCGCCGCGCCCGTCTGAGAATACACAGGGTTGACGAAGCTGAAGGCGCTGGATTTCGTTGGTATACTAGGTGAGATGGGTGTGATCCAGCATTATCGAATTAGAATTTTGAATTTTGGAGCATCACATTAGAATCAGCCGCTAAGAAAAAAGGCAGAAATAAAGGTTACATTCTCACGTTTGCAAGCCCTCCAGGAGGTAGGTCTCTCGGGCGGCTCGAACACGACGTCCTCCACCTTGTAGGAGAGCCGTGGCGTGCGCAGCGCGGGCGGCGAATACACCGGGTTCGCGAAGCTGAATGAGCTGGATAACGTAGCTATAGGCGAGATGGGTGTGATCCAGCATATCGAATTAGAATTTTGAATTTTGGAGCATCACATTAGAATCAGCCGCTTTGGGTACCTATAAATCTAAGAAATAAAGGCTACATTCTCACGTTTAAAAGCCCTCCAGGAGGTGGGTCTTTCGGGCGGCTCGAACACGACGTCCTCGACCTTGTAGGAGGGCCGCGGCGTGCGCAGCGCGGGCGGCGAGCTTGGAGCCGGCGACTGCGCGCCCGTCGGCGAATACACAGGGTTGGCGAAGCTGAATGCGCTGGATTTCGTTGCTATACTAGTTGAGATGGGTGTGATCCAGCATATTGAATTCAAATTTCGGAGCATGCTATTAGAATCAGCAGCTTTGGGCACCTATGATCTAAAGGAAAAGGCAGAAAAAGGCTAAGATAATAGTGGGTATCTTACGCTTGAAGGCCCTCCAGGAGGTGGGTCTTTCGGGCGGCTCGAACACGACGTCCTCGACCTTGTAGGAGGGCCTCGGCGTGCGCAGCGCGGGCGGCGAGCTTGGAGCCGGCGACTGCGCGCCCGCCGCGCCCGTCGGAGAATACACAGGGTTGGCGAAGCTGAATGCGCTGGATTTCGTTGCTATACTAGTTGAGATGGGTGTGATCCAGCATATTGAATTCAAATTTCGGAGCATGCTATTAGAATCAGCAGCTTTGGGCACCTATATTCTAAGGAAAAGGCTAGGACAATAGTGGGTATCTCACGCTTGAAAGCCCTCCAGGAGGTGGGTCTTTCGGGCGGCTCGAACACGACGTCCTCGACCTTGTAGGAGGGCCGCGGCGTGCGCAGCGCGGGCGGCGAGCTTGGAGCCGGCGACTGCGCGCCCGCCGCGCCCGTTGGCGAATATACAGGGTTGGCGAAGCTGAAGGCGCTGCCTTCTGTCTCCGCTGTAATCAAAACATAGCCTGATGAAGATATTTAGCGTATTATAAAAAACTTATAAAACTAATTGATTTTTGCAAATAGGCTTTTAAAAAACACTTTTACACGTCCCAGTATTAGCCCTATCAGTGCTTTGGGACAATAAATGGGCAATAGTGCTCTCAACACGAACGAAGAAGCATGGAACGAAGCTCATATAGTAATCTTCCGTTACTTTTGTCGCTGGTTGGTTTGTGGTCTATAAATACACGTACCAATAGAATACCGTGGCTAAGGTGCTAGATAGTAGCATTAGGTTCATTACACCTACCTTGTCCATTTGTTGATAATGCTGGACTTTGCAGTTTCAGAACCCCATAGCTTCCTTCACCAGCTTCACTTTCCATCTGAAAAACAACAGTGAAAAATGAAAATTTTCGAAACCTTATAAGACACAAAGCTAAAGTAGGTAATAAGTATGTTATAAGATTTCGGATCACGATTTTTTNGTCCACTCTTTTATTTAAGTTCCCAGTAGGACCCTTTTCATGCGATTAATTAATGATATTAAAATGTATTATGTAGAATCGCTTTGCCATTGACAGATACATCTGATGACAGAGCTTACATTATTTCTACTTTTGACCACCATGAGCGCTGCGATAGATTATGTTACCCCCACCTAGTACTTCGCACCCAGCGAATAGGCGAGATGGGTGTGATCCAGCATATCGAATTCGAATTTTGAAATTTGGAGCAACACACTAGAATCAGCCGCGTTGGGTACCTTTATAAATCTAAGAAAGAGATTGAATATCTCACGTTTGAAAGCCCTCCAGGAGGTGGGTCTCTCGGGGGGCTCGAACACTACGTCCTCCACCTTGTAGGAGGGCCGCGGCGTGCGCAGCGCGGGCGGCGAGCTTGGAGCCGGCGACTGCGCGCCCGCCGCGCCCGTCGGAGAATACACCGGGTTTGCGAAGCTGAATGAGCTAGATAACGTAGCTATAGGCGAGATGGGTGTGATCCAGCATATCGAATTCGAATTTTGAAATTTGGAGCAACACACTAGAATCAGCCGCGTTAGGTACCTATAAATCTAAGAAAGAGGCTGAATTATCTCACGTTTGAAAGCCCTCCAGGAGGTGGGTCTCTCGGGCGGATCGAACACGACGTCCTCCACCTTGTAGGAGGGCCGCGGCGTGCGCAGCGCGGGCGGCGAATACACCGGGTTTGCGAAGCTGAATGAGCTGGTTAACGTAGCTATAGGCGAGATGGGTGTGATCCAGCATATCGAATTCGAATTTTGAATTTTGGAGCATCACATTAGAATCAGCCGCTTTGGGTACCTATGATCTAAGAAAAAGGTAATAAAGGCTACATTCTCACGTTTGAAAGCCCTCCAGGAGGTGGGTCTTTCGGGCGGCTCGAACACGACGTCCTCCACTTTGTAGGAGGGCCGCGGCGTGCGCAGCGCGGGCGGCGAGCTTGGAGCCGGCGACTGCGCGCCCGCCGCGCCCGTCGGAGAATACACAGGGTTGGCGAAGCTGAAGGCGCTGCCTTCTGTCTCAGCTGGAAAAATAGCATAGTCTGGTTAAGGTATTTAGGCCCGATTCGACCAAAATTTTATACGAGAATTACTTCTGGTATAACTGGCACACCGACAGTTTCAGTATGGGATATATGTCAAAACTGGCGATTTATTCTGAGATTAATATTAGTCTTTTTTCGTCAAATCCATCCTTAGCATATTATGGAACGAAACTCAAATATTAATTTTCCTTCACATTTGTCACTTATTGGTTTGTGTTCTTTAAATGCACGTACCAATAGAACACCGTGGCTAAGAAGGTGCTAGGTAATAGCAGTAGGTTAATCACACCTACCTTGTCCATTTGTCGACAATGCTGGACTTTGCAGTTTCAGAACCCCGTAGCTTCCTTCACCAGCTTCACTTTCCATCTGGAAAACAACAGTGAAAAATGAAAATTTTCAAAACCTCATAAGACACAAAGCTAAAGTAGGTAATAAGTATGTTATAAGATTTCGGATCAAGATTTTTTTCAGACAGACAGAGACAGATCAATTACTATTATGTAGGCACAATTTAAGTATGCTTCATTGCTTCGCGACATAGCGATCATTGGCTAATGGATCCAATTAAATAATTTTAATTAGTCAAGGTCCCCGAGTCCCGAGCGTCGTATTACGGATGATATCGAATAACTTGCGGAAGGAGTAGCTATTACACATTTCAATCTAATATTAATATTTTAAATACTAAGTCTATGTTTCTGCCTGTCTAATTAAACTGATTTAGATGAAATTTGATATAAAGAAAGATACCTAGTCTGAGACCCTGGGAAGAATTTTACATAAGTAAATTATCGCGTATTCAATTATAAGGCGATATAGAATCATTTTTTTAAGAGGGACACGCGCGCTAAAGGTTTTCTGTAACAGCCTAAACTCTACAAGTACCTATCAGTATAAAGAACACGAAGAACATAAACGTGCTGCGACGAGGTTGGCGCAACTAAGGTACTTGTAGTTAAATGCATAGTACATAGTAAGTCTCTGCAGTAGTGAGGGGTGTGATTTTCTTACGTCACATGTCACTTCTCCCGCACCGCTCCAATACCAAAGTAACCTAATGAGCTATGAATACCTGTAGTAGTTAATATAGCATACCAGAGTAGCGTCTTCAGTAGGGTTGAGATGTAGCTGAATGCGCCGCTTATGCCGCGACTCATTCGTCAGCCTCAAGTAGTACTGCACCAGCGGGTGTCTCATCATCACGTGGTGCAGCATGGAGTGCCCCAGCAGTATCAGGATGGAGAACACGAAGAACATAAACGTGCTGCGGCGAGGCTGACGGAACCCGTATTTGGTCAGGTACTAGTAGGTAAACGCATAGCGCATAACTGAGCAGTCTCTGCAGTAGTGAGGGGTGTGATTTTCTTACGTCACATGTCACTACTCCCGCACCGCTCCAATGCCAAAGTAACCTAATGAGCTATGAATACCTATAGTAGTTAATATAGCGTACCAGAGTAGCGTCTTCAGTAGGGTTGAGGTGCAGCTGAATGCGCCGCTTGTGCCGCGACTCATTCGTCAGCCTCAAGTAGTACTGCACCAGAGGGTGTCTCATCATCACGTGGTGCAGCATGGAGTGCCCCAGCAGTATCAGTATGGAGAACACGAAGAACATAAATGTGCTGCGGCGAGGCTGACGGAACCCGTATTTGGTCAGGATTCGGTCGAGGGACACCCAGAATCCCGCGGCGCCTAGAGATAAATTGAACGCAGTTTGTACGTTATGTGATTTGTTCAGTTAGTACCTACTGGTTCAAGTGGTCGATTTAAAAAATAACAATCTCCTATGGAGTTTTAAATACCTTGAATAATAAAATTAAATGGAGTCATGAAAGTAGGTAATTTTATTTTAGTAAAGAGAATTTTATAACGCTGTGAAAACTCAACGCGTCTCTACCATAAATGTATGGACTAAGAGAAATATCTTATGACGCAGCTAGTTTCGTACCTACTCAATTTTGTTATTTCAAAATTACTCAAAATCGAATTTACGGCATATTGAAAGGTATAACTCTTTTTTGGGAAAACAATTTTTTTAAAGTTGTGTCTTGGAATACAATTGGCTAACTCAAAATGGACAAAAAAAGTAAATAATAATTAACTTACTCTCTCCAGCCATCACCGCCTGCGTATACCGCGGAGGCAGGCACCCCGTGAACCCATAATACGAGGCTTGTTGCACCGTACAGCCGAAAGCCACCACTCCAATGGCGACCAGGTTGATGGTGTACGAGACCTTCGTCGAGAACCCGTCCCAGCCGATGTTGCAGACCGCTACGAATAGCATTGTCGCTAACGATACTAGGATACCTGTAAATAACATGTTTTACTGTGAGTTCTCGAAGCGCTGGTAGGGCCCAAAAGATAAGGAGACATGTAAAGTGCCCCATAAGGGCTACCTTTTCTTTTTTTATTATTTTCTATTGACGTTCATAAGTGCCACTTGTGGTCTAAACTGAATAAATATTTTTGATTTTTGATTTTGATTTTTGATTTTCTTTACGAGATCGAATCAGAAATGAGGAGATCCGTAATCGAACTACAGTTGCTGACATAGCCCGAGGGATTAGCAAGCTGAAGTGGCAATGGGCAGAGCACATAGTACGCAGAACTGACGGCCGATGGGGCAGCAAGATTCTGGAATGGAGGCCGCGTACCGGAAAACGCAGCGTGGGACGTCCACCCACATGGTGGACATCATAAAGGTAACAACATCAACATGGAAAACATTGGGGGAGGCCTATGTTCAGCAGTGGACATCCTATGGCTGAAATGATGATTGTAAGTACGCCTTCAAGTACCTATTTGCTAATCGAGACACAATAGAAATCGCTTAGGGTTTGATGGGTTAACACATGTCTATTTTACTTACTTAATGGAAGCAAGAACATAGGCAGTTCCAGTTTATGATTTTTCCTGAAATGTCGCATCCACCTATAAATTATGTGTATTATCTAAGTAGCTTAGTGAACAAAACGACGTATCAACGACATCTTGAATGTTTCCTGTTCGGAAGAAAATGTGTTGATTTTAAATATGCATTTAAGGATGAAAAGGAACTTTTGCACCCAAAAATTTAAAAAATGTAGAGACCAACCATAGAAAGAGTTGGTCTGGGATAATGCTCCTAAATTATGTTCATTGTATGAGTTATCGACATTTTTCAATCTTAATTCACACGTATTTATCACGTAATAATTTAATTGGATTGGACGTGATCTTTTGTCCGTATGTAAGTAAGTTCTTTATTGTGTAATTGAGGTAATTAATTATACCTACAATGCGATTCTACAAAAAATCGTTGTGTATCCTCGTTCATACTACGTACGTTAAGCTGAGCCCCGATTACGGTAATAAGTATTTAACGTCTCCAATCCAGACACGCTTCTCGATTCTGCGATACGATTGGTCAAAACAGCTGACGTACGCTGTTGAACGACCAATCGTCGTTGATATCGCAGAATCGAGAAGCGTGTCTGGATTGGAGACGTTAAAAATTACCGTAATCGGGGCTCTGAACTCTACGAAGGATCGACACCTATATCCCTCTTTTCTTTTTTTTCCTTTATGGTTTCGTGCGGTTTGCATTATTATGGCTACTGGCTAGTGTTAAAAAGAATTGTATTTGTAGAGTGTTTTTCTTTTGTTTCTCAAATAAAATACGATATTCGTTTGTTTTTCTCACTTACCAAAAGTGATCCTAGTGTTGTAGGTGAACAGGTCTAGCAGCAGATTGTTGGCGACGACGGCCACGCATGCTGACGCGATGTACACCGTCGACATGTCGAACATGATGGTAGTGTTGGGGTAGTGGTGCTGGAAGTAGTCCACTGCCATGATGAAGCTGGAAAAATTAAATTAAAGTACTTAAACTCACCACACCCCAACCGTCACGTTGACGTGTTACGCGCGTTCTCTCGTCCTTAGGCTATAAGTAGCTGAAAATCAGTGGTTTGCTTTTAAGTAAACCAATTACTGAGCTATTGCCGTTTTGCATTGCTGCGACACACATTTCTGTATAAAGTGTGTACCTATATTGTATGTCATAATGATTTTTTTTTTCTTTTTATATCTGTCTTACCATACCATGTCATATTGTCCTGAGGGTACTATTTTGTCCTACTTTTGGTACTTTCTGTTTGTAATGTGTGTTTCTGTTATGCAAATAAACGTTTTATCTATCTATCTAAAAATTAAGGAAAATAGGTGATTGATACGCACTTAGTTATTTGTGTTTTTTTCTTTTATTTGATTCAAGGCGGAAACTTTCTTATCCAAATCATAACAAACATTTGGTAATCGAACCCATCACTTCCCTGAAGGTTTAAGTTTCATGATGTGTATGATCATTCAATGTTAACATCATAACAGAAACTAATTAAATATACGAAAATCTATCATTATCACAAGTTAAACGTTGTTTGTGATGCGCTATGTTATGCATTTTCAAGAAAAACTCACAAAGGCAGAGCCGCTTTAAATTTCAATAAAAAAGTTTACAGACCTGTTAAAAGGCAGTAAGAAGGCTGCGCCGGCGACGAAGAGAGTCACATAAACGGAGTTGTATCTGTCCGGGGGCGGAGCGCTAGGCTCCGTCATCGGAGCAAGGGGCTCCCCGCGCGCTGCCCGAATCGCCTCGATGCGGGCGTACCCGCGCCCTAGAGTCTCGTTCATGTCTGCACTTGTCTACTCTATGACCATTTTTTAACAAACACTTTTTTCACTAGTCATATTTCACTACACTTGCAGGATAACGCGCATTTAATAAGTATTTACAAATATACGCAGATTTATAGTTACGCGAGTTCGCCTCAAATGACATTAAAAACAAACACTAATTTCACTGTACACACGTCCACTGTTACCTAACTTTTTTTTTTCTATAGATTAGCGTTTTATCCTACCTAATACGATAATTTGTGGTGCTGTCTTTCGATTCATAATGGTGCAAATTGGTTTTGAATTGATTGCTCACGTCGCATAAGTTGTGTAGTGTCATTTATCGAGTTACTTTCTTATTGTCCGCCTACATTTACTGAGTGAAACAACAACAAATAATTCGGCCGGTGCAAGTTGACAGCTGGAAGGTCATCAGAGCGCACGCGCGCCCTGCATTGATTTTCAGTGATGAGAACAGCTGACTTTAGTGTAGGTACTGAGAGGTGAGGCTCCTTGACAGAAAAAAATGCGAACAAAGTGATTTTCGAACAACGTTTTTAAAACAAAGATAAAGATAGTAACTGCGATTCATATTAAGCTCTACTTTTGTAGATTTGCTAAAAAATAGAGAAACAAGACTATCTAGGGTGATTTTGCTGGATCGCGGCCCTGCGTTATTTCTCGGCCTTTTAGAGGATCAACTGCATAAATATTGGAATGATTAGAATTCTATCTCACTGTTCCCAATGTGTTGGGGATCTTTAAAAGTATAATAGTTGCTGAATGCAATGCCTATACAAATTGGTCGGTTATCCTTATCCGCGTACCGGAAATAGATCGTCCATTGCTCGTCACGCTGCACGCGCAAACACGTAGGTACGTCAAGCTGCGTAGAAAATAACGAACAGGTCCCGCTTCAAATGTAAGTATTACAAGTTTACAATTAATTTATTACTATTGTGATTGTTCTTGAGTGATCATTGTTGTTTTATTCACTTTATTTTGCATTTATTTTGGGAGTAAATTACTTTAAATACCCGTTTTATTTGGTGGCCGCCAACTAACGTAATACATTTTTAGTAAAGTTGGTTTGCGGCCGGGTGGCCGCGGTACTAACTCACTGAGTGAAATAAGTTTGCTTTCTTTTCAATTATTAATGTAACTAAAGTTTAGTTTTGTGCGAAATTTTTCTACTGTTGGGGTTGGTTTAAATGCTATGGTTGGTTTACGGCCGCCAAAATATAATTTTATACGTATTTATAATTATAATGTGGCCGCAAACTAACACTTGCTAACAAAACAAATCTGGTTCGCGGCCGTTTAAAAATCATGTGAAAAAAAGGCGGCCGTTATTTGAATATTGAAAATACAGGGTGGAAGCGATAAGTGATCTCACTCGATTATTTCTAAACTATACAAGATATCAAAAAACTAGTTACTGATCCTGAAAGTGCTTCATGAGCTCTATCAAATGGTACCAATAATAGGTTACAGAATAAACTGGACCTATCCGAAAATTCAATGTTTCCGACTTCCATACATTTGGTACAGCCTCATAATATTAAAAACTACACAAGATATCGTAAAACTGGTTACTGATCTTAAAAGTGCTTCACGAGCTCTATCTAACGGTATCAATATTAAGTTACAGAATAAACTGGATCTATCCAAAAAAACAATGTTTCCATCTTCCATACATTTAGTACTATGACTGTCATGGCACTCATCTCTGGATAATATTATAGCAAGTAAAGCCTTAAAAATAATGTTCTTTATGTTATTTTAAATAAGAATGCAATTTATGAGTTTATTTTAAGTTTATTATTTAATTTTAAAAAAATACACTTCTAAATTCTAATATTGTGTAGTTGGGTTGGCATACATTTAGTATGGAAGCTGAAAACATTAAATTTTCAGATAGTTTCCGTTTATTTTGTAACCTGTTATTGGTATCATTTGAAAGAGCTCGTGAAGCGCTTTCAGGATCAGTAACCAGTTGTTAGATATCTTGTATAGTTTAGAAATAATCGAGTGAGATCACTTATCGTTTCCACCCTGTATAGGTGCCAGTTTACGGCCACTTCTTTCACCCAGATTAGTTGTTTGGTTAATTTTTATAATTTTTGTTCTTACAGATGTCTCCCAAAAAACTCAAGAAAAAAACTGTGAATTAGACGCCAGAATCCCTACAGCAGGCATTAAAGGAAATTCGCGAAGCCCGAATCCCAATCAGGGAAGCATCTCGTAAATTTGCGATTCCGAGATGTACAATTCAAGATCGATTAAGTGGTAGAAGGACTGATGAACTAAAAAAAAAAGGCCCCGAGCCAGTGCTAGGAGAACAAGGTGGAAAAAAAGTTGTAGAGTGGCTCATAAATCTAGCAAAATGTGGTTTTCCAATCAAAAAACAAGAACTGTTAGATACTGTGCAAAAAAATTTAAAAGAGTTAAAAACGCCGAACCCTTTTAAGGATGATCGTCCTGGTCAGACATGGTATCTAAACTTTCTAAAAAGACATCCTGAAATATAGTGTTGATTATTTAAAATACTAGTCTTACGCTCAAATGATGGAAGATTACTTATGTTAGGTATGTTAAGATTTTTTTTTAATGTAAACCGAACTTAATTTGTTGCAATATAAGTTGATTGAAAAACTTTTGTATGTAGTGTTTTATTTCATTTTTAGCAGAGATGATAAATGTGTTTAACTATAAGAGCAGAATAATTGCAGTAAAATGAAATTGTAGTATGTTAGATTTATGGAAGAAAAACAAGGAATTACAGGTTCGAGTATGGTAAGAAAGGAAGGATAATAAAGTAGAGGAAGGAAAGAAAGAAGAACAGAGAGAAAGAAAAGAAGAAAAGTTTGTTGCAGAAATTAAAGACGAAGGTAAGTTGGGAGGAGAAGGTAAAATGCTGTAGAGATTAGAGACGAGATTGTAGTGCGTGACCCCAGATTAGAAGAATAAATGCTGTGGAAATAAGAGATGTTAGTGTAAGGTTAGTTAGGTTAGACGAATATTGAGGAGAAACGTGTTTTTTAAGAGTAAAGTCATTCGAGTAAAAACACTATCATTATAGGCAATGATATAGGAAATTTATGATAGGGCCAAATAGATGGTGAAAAGTGGAAGAAAACTCAAAAGAACATGAAACACTCTTAAGTAATATTGTATGTAAAATTGGCGGCCGCAAACTGACTCTAGGGTGGCCGCGAATGGAAAAAACTGGCCGTTAATCGGCATTTTGAGTAAGTTTTCAGGAAATTATTTATTAAAAAAAACTGTTAAAATATTCCTTAAATACTAATTTCTTAAAATAACTTGATTATATCTGCTACACCTAGAGAAACAATCAGAACTTCAATTATGAACGTAACATACTAATTTCAAGGAGCCAAGTTGGGCAGTCGCCTTAAAGGCCGCCAACCGGCGCAATGACCCTACTTCAATTATATCTTCTTGTACACTTAAAATGTCTTTAATTAATAAATTAATATGTAAACAAGAACAAACTTGAACAAATAATTTACATTCTAACTAGATATAGTCCGTATCAATCGACTTTGGCAAAATTGAATACAAATGAGACCGACTAATATTGACATCAAAAAGTAAAGTTTGTTATTTCATGATGGTTCTTTCATTGAAATGTTGAATTATTTATTCTCTCTCTATTTCAGTCGTTTTTTGACATCTTAATAAGTTAAATCAATGTCTTTGCATGTACTATGTAAGTGTATGTAAAGACAAATTGGATTCTCACTGTTTGGTGTCGTAAAATGCGATAACCAGGAGGTCAAAGTTATCTGTGTGTAAGCACAAACTTACAAAAATAGTAGGTACTATGAAGTGAAACTGTAAGTTTAATAGAAAAGGATACCTTTCAAATTCCATGAAACTTTGGGGGAATCCCGGGAACTTTAGTTAGACGCATTGTTTGGTAACATAATAGTGATATTGTTAGTTTCAGCTATTAGCACTTCCCGATTCTATGAATTTTAAGTAGTATAATACAACTGGCGATTCGATTAATGTTAGTAGGTTTCTGCACAATATAGCTCTACATATTCATAAATATCACCAAAACAATGGAACACATTACGACGAATTCCGTGCTGAATAGCAATCATTAGAAGAGAAAAAAGGTCAATCCACTTAAAAGAAACAAATTATTTAAATAAAACAGCTTTATAATTCCGTAACTTTGATAATAATGTACATTTAAAATAGAGATGTAATAAATGTTTAATTCAATCAATAGTAAGTATTATGAATAGCCTTAGTAGATTGTAATTTAAATAAATAATTTAAAGCTTTTTGATATGTAACTCGATCCCATTTACTATTTATTACCTACCTTCATGTTATGATTGCATTAGATTACGAAGATCAACCATTAGACTATCAAAAGCCTGTTCTAACACATCCTAGATCTAGACTCTATATGTCAGATGTTTGCATGTCTTTTTTTATGTAGATTTTAAATACAAAATCAAAAGCTAAAATTAAAATTTTTGACACATTTTTAATTTTTTATTCGATTTGAAGTATAATTATGCTGTTCTAACTAAAATCTTGGTTCAAAATTAATTTTAAAAGGTTTCGCTGAGAGAGTAAGGCCATCTACGGGTTCGATTGAAGGCATCGATTCACCAGGAGGTAGTTTTAAATTGAACCTTTGCAGAATATGGGTCAAGAACATGAACAGCTCCGATCGGGCCAAACCTTCGCCGATACATCGTCTCTTACCTAAAAAGGGAAAATACACTGAAGAAATAATAATTGATTTTATGTGCATAGGATGAAAATGAATATGAATTCATGTCATGAGTAACTAATATCCCTACCACAATCCCTACGTCTTAGATGACAAATAAGTATTCGAGTAAATATTACCATTCACAAAACGAATGACAGAGCAGCCCAATTTGATACAGACATTTTTGAGTGATTGAAAATAATTGAAAATAAATAGCAATTCTACCGTAAACAAGGCCCGTTAGAAAATCCACGTGTATCTAAATAAAAATATAGTGAAGGTAGATAAATATTACGATAAGTTTGTTTCTTACCAGCACCAAACGGCATGAACCACTCGTCCTGCATGAGGTTCCCTTCCTTCGTAAGAAACCGTTCTGGCTGGAACACTTCGGGGTCCTTCCAATGGCTGCCGTGGTGGAGGTCATGTAGAGCCAGCAGAACGAAAGTGCCCTGAAAATAACTGCGACTTATGCCCGTTTTCACCAACCAAGCCACTAACCACCAACCGTCCCTAACTTTTAAGTGAACAAAATTCCTGTTATGTGTTTCCATAGGGGTCACTTAAAAAATAGGGATTGATGGTGAAAACGGCATTATTCTCATATACGCAAAAAAATAATGATAACTAGTAACTTGTTTGTTAATATTTACATTAAATATAACTCGCATTATTAATATAATTCTTACTTAAAATGCATGTTCTTACTTAAAAGGCCAAGGGCCTACGTACCTGTTTGTGTTTTAAGTGCTAAATGCAGATTTAAATTATAAATGTTTAGTTAATTTGCAAGCGGTAAATAAACTTGTGCGTATTACAAGTTTATAACAAATTCTCCGAATTAAAACATAATTTTCGTTGCGTGGATCTACAATATTTATGTTCCACATTTTTTTGCAAAACAAAAAGTCAGTTAACATTTTTCGTTAGCTTCATCATACTATAGCTATTTTTAGTGTAGGTACGTAAGTCGCATTTCAATATCTGGAAAAATCGAACTGTCTAAGCAGCTCAGATGGTATGAGCGAACAGTCACCCGGCAAGCGAAGCGTTCGTGGGTTCGATTCCCACTTTAGGCATATCATTTCAATTTTCATATCTCTTTAGCTAATCCACTTACATCAGAATAATAATTGCATGGAAAATTTATTTTTACCTTGGGTATAATGTAGTCGCCAAGCTTTGCTTCCGCCAACGCCATGTGCGGTATACCAACGGGCGCGATGCTGGCCATTCGCAAAGATTCCATTATCACAGCTTCGGCGTATACCATTCTGTAAATATTTGCTATAATTTTTTAATGGACTTAATGATATAAAGCGAAAATTAATATCATGAAGATAGCACAGAAAGTTTTTCATTATGTAAACGTGTCATATAACGTAAACAATCGAAGTTGTTTTGTTTGTTTAACGTTACGAATAACGCCTACCTATAGGTATTTTTGTATTTATTTTTATGTTTACGAACAATTACGGATACGGAAAGTAATAAAACTTTGATAAAGGCGACCTAAATAGGTTATGCACTTTCTTTGTGCATTATCATAAACTCGTAAATAAATTAACGTTTAATTAGTCAAGTATTTAATTTTATAAGTATTTTGCTCAGTCATAAGTACTAATATTATAATGCGAAAGTAACAGACTGTCCGTCTGTCTGAATTACACAATAATTTTCATGAATCTTTGGTAGAAGATGAATTGGACCTTGGCGAAGTAAAAGTAACATTAGGACCTACGGCTGAAATGAAATCCTGAAAAACTTTATTAAATTAGTTTTTAATTACCTTTTTCTGTCGCTTAGCGCCGGAGCCCTATTCTTGCCAACCACCTCGTCAATCTCGTTCTGCAATCGTATCTGAATAGCATCGTTGTGAATCAGGTAGAGAAGCATAAACACAGCTGTATTGTTCACCGTCTCTACGCCAGCCTCTAACATGTCTAAACATACCACTTGCAGATCTTCTTCACCTAATAAAGTATCAATAAATTCATCGTCAAAAGGAACAAGCGATTAAAGGACATGTGTAGTTATTTTGTATGTTACACAATCAATTTATTTTATTTTTAAAATTAATGGTACTTCTTTACTTACAAAACGTTTCACTTTTATTGTGCATTTCTATTAAAAAGGCATCGATCACGTCTCTAGGGTTAGTTAAGTCCAGGCTTTCCTTGTGTTCATCTATAATTTCCTGAAAATATGTTTTCTTTTAACCNTTAAACAGATTAATTAGACTACTGAGATCGTATGCAGCTATCGGTGGATTGTAGAAACCAGTTCAGTGGACATAAAAATAGCTTATATTTTGAGTAATAAAACCTGAGTTTAAAAATGCTACTAAGATAATAATATGGGCATAAAGAAACAGCAAAATGTTTATTTTTCTTATTGCATGCTACATATCAATATGTCCAAGTAAAAACAAGATACAGGGTAACTAATTAAAAAAAAATCAATAAAAAACTGTAGCGACGTTTGGTAATTAATGTAAAGTTTAATTAGTGATTCTAAATGTGTTTTAAAATGCTGTTTGTTTTCTAACAATAAAAAAGAAATAAAAAAAGTCTTGCTCTTTATGTTTGAACATTGACTACATGTTACAAGTCACAACAAAAACGTAAAACTATTTTTTTAAGCCATTTTTTTAATTATTAATTTTAATATTAATTTAATACCAATCGATCAACGTGGAAAGCATTAGGGGAGGCCTATGTTCAGCAGTGGACGTCCTATGGCTGAAATGATGATGATGATGATGAATATTAATTAAATATTTTACACGACATTCGTTTGTTTGCGTCTCATCTCTATCACGACACTGAGAAGATGCCGACCAAAAGCAAAACAGTATAAATATTATTTTCAATATTATGTAATTTATGTCGAGATTTCACGGTCATATTGGACGCAAAGATATTATTAAGCTTAACTGCTATCTTATCTGCACGGATACATAACTAATTATATCTCGATGGTTTGACGCAGATTCAGATTTAGAGAAGCAATGTTATTTGTGTTGTTTTTTACGCAGATGATTATTAGAATTATGAAACAATAACATCTATACAGTCGCAAGATATTTTTATATTGATTCATATTTAGAAATAAAAAAGATCATTTTGCACCTTTTTAAGCCAAAAATACTTTAAGACTTGAACTCTACCCAAACGAAGTCACGGGCGTGCATGATATATCTTTAGGTAGGTACCAGTTATCTGTTCATTTAGTTCGTATGACAGTTTTAGGTGAAGTACACCTTGAATTGATAATTTGCATGAGGATTGAATTGATTAAAATAAAATAAAGTCGAAGTAAGTATATTTGCAAAGTCAGATGAGTGTTTTTAAAAATGTAATAACTTAGATAACCCTGTTCGCGTCATTATTTGAGAAAAATAGGTTATAACCTTGGTGTTTTATTATTGTCTGAATTGAGTCGTCTAGTTTCAAAACCCGCTAAAACGCTCCTGCAACGAATTTCTGTTTATATCTCTAAATGACGTTACTGCAATTTTCTCATCATACTGTTCAATCATTTTCGATCAAAATTCACAAAAAGACNAATTATCGCTACATATCTTAGTTCCTTGTTGTTCAATAACTCACTCTTAGAAACTGGTGAAGAGCCCGATGCACTGCGGTCATTTCGGTGTACCCTATGAAGTCTGGAATGACGTGCCTCAGGTAAGGCATAGAAGTTAACACTCCACCGCTCATATCCGCCACTTTGAAACACCGATTGATCAAATCACAGAGGTTTTTGAGACGTTCATCATCGAGTTCGTATCTAAAAAAGATAGTAATTAATCAATATGACTGCATTTTGTTTTTACAGTGTTACACGCACTATAAACGTGTTTAAATTATTGTTATGCAGATAATAACACTCAGTTTAACGTGGTTTAATCATGTTCTACATAAGATATACATGACTACAGAAACCATAGCTTAAGCTCGGCTTAGTTTCCTGGTTCGATTTTGGAACCCAATTTAGAACATGATTTGTTCCAAGTTGGTTTGGGTCTAGATGTGCATTTATGCATGTACAGAAGAAACTAATACACATTTAGCAAATTATAGTGGGTATGTTCCTTCCTAAGCATCCTGTGAAAGTCATCACGTTACATTTAATGAATAAAAATGAAATCAACTAAAATAGTGGATAGGAAACAAAAATATTCTCTTACCTTTTCCCCGCTACAAACCGCCATACGATATTGATGATGGAAATGTCAAACATGCCATTGACTGGAACTGGTGCGCGGATTTTTTGTAGCCTATCCACTAGAGTTTGACATTCTTCGGCGATATGGAGTTCCATCTGTCTGGAGCCGTAGCCGAAGCCTTTCAGGAACTTCAGCGCTACTCGTCTGGTTTTACTCCAGGATGAGCCGTCATTGAAAACAATACCTGGAGGTTTCAGTGATAATAAGGTGTTTACGTTTACCAAGTTATACAAGTAATAAAAGTAGGTGCGACAAAATTTTAATCTGAAGTGGGATAATTGGACAATTGGACATCTACAATTTTTCAGTTACTTAGTTCGTAAAAATAATAAGCAGTCGAGCTTTTCTTTTCATAACTAGAGAACGGTCAGATTTGCTACGAATTTTGTTATGCCTTTTATATCATTACTACGAGAAATAAGAAAATCTATTTATAAGCAATAAATAGTTACTAGGTAGGTACTCACCAAGTTTTTTCCCAAAAGACCGCATCGTGTACAAAAAGCCGTCGGGCCGTCCGTCAAATACATCTCGCGCTATGACATCCTTGATCAAATCTTTGCCAAACACAACCACGACGTTTACGACGCCAAGTCTTAGACCCAGCAAGTTCCCGTAACGGTGAGACCAAGACTTCCACACGCTATGGTGATATTTCACTTTCTTTAACTCAAATAAAACCGACAAAAGATTACCTACAATTGGCAGTATTTTAGGTCCTAAAAAAGAAAACTTAGCATTTAGTTCACTATGAAACATCGTGTAAAATAATGTTAATTTTTAATATTAACCTGGGGGGTATAAGTTTGGTCTATTCACTCTTATATTTAAGAAAAAATAAATCAAAATTATTACAACGATTATTGCCCACATCCTGGTGGTTACACGGTTAAACTGAAAATATTAAATTCAACAGAATTTAACCATCATTCATATGGATATGAGTAATTGTCATACGAAATTTCATTCAAATTAAAACATGATGTTTAGTTAGATAATATTGATATTCATATTTTCTTTAAACGATTTCCAATGAACACGAGTCTACTATTTTTAACTGGTTTTATTTACCCACCTAAAATCTTAATAGTAGAGCGGATTTACGTGTACCTAACTGTGACACAAAAATAATAGTTATGTATCCTCAACCCATAGGAGTTCCACTGCTAGGCACATCTTTCCATGCAGTGAAGGCACAGAAGGTAGCTATGCAGGCTAGGTTGTTTTTTTTAAGTTTCAAAGTTTTCCTTCCCTTGCACGATTATGTTGTGCTTAGATTTCTCTTACATTACAGGTTACCCCGATGCGATAGAGTAGATTAATAAGTACTTATTATCTAACAAATAAAATTGCCGGTAAAATATTGGTATTGTACACGCCCGTCCCGTTAGATAGCGAAGCTTTTTACAAGGTTTTATTTAGTTTCACCTGTATAACATAAATTAGTTCAATTGCCACAGACAGCACCCAACTATCATACATAGTTGAAACCATTTCACTATAAGTACGAGTACCTACTTAATACTTACAGTACTTCGAATATATTTAACTGAATCATGTTAGTATAGATTACATAGATATGATTAGAAGCTGAATAACGGCCTATCTCAGTTAATTATCCACCAAAACGCAATCAGCTGTCGTTGCATCTCATTTTACACCGATAAGGGTCTACGAAATCAAACTATGTAGTAGTCCCTGATAACCACAATCTCATTACTTAGAATGTAAATAATGATAACGTTTTTTATGGCGTTATGAGAAACGGGTGCGTCGATGTTAGAGATAAGACTATGGTGCATAATAATATGATAAAAGGGATGTTGTTGTTTTACTCCCATAAGTCGTAGGTTTAGTTTAGTCGTAATTTGAAACAACNAAAACAACTAATAATAAATTTTATTTTATTTTAGTTAGAAGAATTCGTTTATGTATTTAATTTCAATAAATTCATTTGGTATAGTTTATAGCAATGTTTGGTCTTTCTTTTCGATTAAAGGTATCGTATGTTAGGTAACGGGCATTAAAATTATCCTCTTTATTACAAAAAGTTAATGGAAATGACATTTTAAGCCCGTGTTTTTTTTAATCCACAACGAGGAAGCTCTTGGCCTGTATCTCACCTGATGGTAAGTTCATCCCGGGTTTAACTTTTTTGTAATAAGGGGTTATGTGCCTTTATTCTTCTCTGAGTTAAATACGTCTAGGAATACCCGTGTGAGTCAGACGTCAATGCGATTTCCGGTAGATAAACAATGAATGCAATACAGCAACTAAGCAATTTGTCGAATGTTAGGCCGATTTTTTCAAAGCAGCTTTTACGGTTGACTCAGACTATACCTGGGTTTACTCGGTCTATTATCCGATTGTATTTGAGTTTTAAATTGAGCAACCATCCCATAATTTACTCCAGTATTTACTGCATTTGTTCTCTATAAGGATAGAGATTCAAATACCCTCTTGGGTATTTTAATCTAACTCTGGACGTCAAGAGGTGATCTTGATTCAGACGACGTCTCGCGGAGGCGTCAATAAAAACGCGGAAAAAGGGAATTTATTGGCATTCAAAACTCGATTCAAAAGTATTAGATTAAAGCCTGTGAACTGTGGCTAATATTGATATTGAAATTCACCATGAGCTTAATGCTACATGTCTACGTTGACATACAATAAATATCAATTTATAGAAATAAGCTCTACTATGCTACCTGTAATGTCTGTTTATTTACTTAGAATCTGCACATTCAATTCAATTTCAATCTATCACAACATTAACTATAATAATAAAGAAATTGCAGTAAGTAACCATAGACTTGGCACGACTTTGTCTAGATTTCATTACTTTTTAGAGATAAACAAGCAGCTCCATCGAGACTTGGCTAGTTTTTTACAGAATGTTTTTGGTNTTTAATTTCTAGCAAAATTATAAGATACAAAACATTTTCGTTATTCTTTTAAAACACGATCATAATGTATTTAGTTAAAAAAAATATTTCGTTAATTTAGTTCTAAAATCATTTCAATCTCTCTTTGTACAAAAAGTTCATAAAGTTAATTTAATAGTTACTAAATGTAATATGAGTAACCGATCATGACTTTAACGTAAGACAGACGCAACTCTACATTATCGCAGACATGCCCACCTCCACATGTTAAGTATTACGATTTGTACAAAACATTTTATTGATAAATTAATGTTATTTGTACAAAAAACAGCATCTGAAATCATGCGAGATGTCGGTAATTACAAGCGCGTCGCGACTTCGCGAGCGAGTCTATATAACCGGCGAGACCCTCTCTCGCCTCTACATTGCATGCTCGGACATTGCCCACTATAGTACACCACACCACGCTTTATCTCTTGTTTAGAATCGACTAATTTATCAGTTAAGTGATGGCGCCTATCAATGCGGCTGACGTTAATGGGAGCAAGGCCTATTCGCCAGCTAAGAAGACGCTTCCAGAAGTCGAAACTGAGAATGGAAAATCATCCAAGGGGTATGTGTCAATGCATGCTAATTGTAAGTCAAGATCAACGTTCAGATAAAACGTTTCAGTATAATCATTTTGTTCAATAATTTCGCGAAACAGTCATAAATTAATAAAGCAAATGTTTGAGTGTAGTAATTTACCATGTTTTTTAGGTTAGTGTGGAGGACAAAAGATTTAAGAAACATTAATGCGATACATACTTATAATAAACACTACTTACTTGTATAATCTGATATGAAATTAAAAGAAATAGAGAGGTAACTCGTCAATCATGTCCAGGCAGCCAGGGTCGAGTCATTAAATGCAGGCAATTGAACGAGATTGTACTGGTTTTGATCCTTGCCTTAAAAATCCGTGCACTCGATTTATTTATAAAGATATGAGTGATAGCAATTTAATGAATTACTGTAGGAATAAAAAATCACAACAGTTATATTATTTACAATACTGGTTTTGTGCCATAAACTTTCTTGCGAACGTTCTAGTTATTTATCAATGAAAAGGTTATCAAAAAAGTTTAAGAAAATAACAATGACACAATGCCATTGTTTTCATCCATAAACAGTACCGGGCGTAGTAATGAAGTGTTTTATTGATGTTGGCATAGTTAAATTATGTAAGTAACATTAGTATCATATTATGGCAAGACATAGATCAAGATCTGTAACTGGAGAAAAGCTGTTGGTATGTGGAAGATCGTTGACATAGGTCGACGGCAGACTGCATTCTTAAGGATTAATAAGCAGTCATCATGGCGTACGAACGACAGCATATAAAGCTAACTGTGGTATCACAAGTAGATGTAATACGCGCGATTTTATTACAAAAATGTACAGTTACTACAGTCTGACGCTGTACTCGTATATACGCGTTTGTAGAGTCATTAGAATAGAAGCCATAGTATGATTTATGATTTGCAGCCTACTCGGGACCAAAATAACCCTTTATGCACAATACATCGAAAAACAGCTCTACACGTCTGTATGTTAGGTTTACGCCTAAAATCAATAAGCATAAATACTGTTAGAGAGAATAATTATAGAACTAAAGGAGATATAGGAGCTAAAGGTGGGGTTGTAGGCATGGGGAACCCATTATATCTCTGGGTTATAAAATCCTTATTAAAATTATGTCTTTAGTAAGAAATCAAGAATGTTTAAAATACATCGACTTTTAAATTAGAGTTATGTATGGCTAACTTCTCCCCGATTTAATAAGCACGGTCTTATCAAAACTAGTTTGAAACAAAAAATACTAAATAATGATAATAAATTCAGATTATTTTTAGACGGTGTAAAAATAGCTTGACTTTAAATCACTAAATAATTAAATGCGAATATTACTTAATTTCTACTTAGTAGGTGCATATACATTTGCAAATCAAATGCAAAATAAATGATATTCTATATTTAGCAAATGGCGTTACTTCTGCCAATAAATAACAATTAATGTAAGAATTAGAAAAAATAATTATTACGCAATAGCTTTGATTTAATACGTAAAATTAACAAGCGCGTGTTGCATTACTCAAATTCATTCACCACGTGGAAAATCATTTGAGACTTGCTGTACTCGAATTTGATTCTTATCATCGATGTCTCAAGGCATATTAATTGACAGATTTGGATTTGCAAGACTTATTTTTACCAGTAAACTGCTATTAATGTAATACAATCTTCGTGTGTGCACTTTTTCTATTTATTCCTCATCCTTCATAATGACTGGGTTTCTGGACGTTTTCCCTACAAAACGTGATAATTACTTGTATGGACTGGTTATTTGACGTGCTGTGTAATTTAAAGATGTTTTACGAGATTATTGTTTTTATAATTCCAGGTACTCGTATGAGACGCTTCTGGAAACTGCCAATTTCCTGCTGTCGCGAACCTCGGTGCGCCCGCGCATCGGCGTAATTTGCGGCTCTGGGATGGGTGCGTATTGGAAAGACGGTACTTATTGCTTTGATTTATTCTCGTCTATCATCAATTGGCATTCTAACATTACATCAAATCAATTGTCAAGGCATTGAACACCTCTTAACCATGTTTGGAATTGCAAATTTTTTGTCACAATTATTTAGTTTTTAAGTCTGTAAATTTTAAGTTTTTGTTGATTGAATTTACAAAGAGGTTAATGTAACTATTTTTCAAAATATCTTCGAGTTATTATTTTGTTAATGTATGTTTTGTTTTATCTGCAGGATCTTTGGCTGAAAACATAGTGGATCCGGAATGTATACCATACGAGGAGATTCCAAACTTCCCAGTTAGTACAGTTGAAGGCCACCACGGCAGATTAGTATTTGGAAAATTGGAAGGAGTGCCAGTGGTTGCTATGCAAGGACGATTCCATTATTATGAAGGATACCCACTATGGAAGGTACCTACGTTTTTATAGAACATTTTTATTAGAGTTAGTTTAACTTACTAACTTAAAAAGTCATAAATTATGGACTACCTAATCAAGCAAGTTTTTTTAACTTAATTGGTTGTCAGACATGGATCAAAGGTCAGTTAATTGGTATTGGCAATTAAAATATGGACTAAAGTCCGAAAAGAATCATTCTTTTACAAATAATCATCCATGGCAGTAATTAAAACACATTTGTAAATTGTAGAGTCAAAAATACATTTAAACGAAAACGCACGTTTAAATATTAATGGACCATAATGGACATTGACAAAAGGTTACAAAAATAACTATCAACTTGGAAATATACTGATAGAATAACTGATAGAGAGATCAATAAAACATTACTTATGGAATGTTACCTGTTCGCGCCTTCCTTACGCGAACGAGTAGTAAAACTCTAGTGTAAATAAATACGCGTGTTACGTTTGAATGTTGTGACGTAGGTACGAGTAGGTTGAATGCAAACCGCAGCTGATGCAATATTTCATGAATTGTCATTGGTAATGGTTAAGTACCATTAATTAATTTGTTTTTCCCGTATGACGAGTAAGATTGATAAGGTAGTTTATTAGGATCGGGCTAAGGGCCTCGTATACAGTACAGAAGGCAGATTTTGACGCATTGGAATTTCCATTCAGACGCGAAAACATACAAATCTTACTTATACGAATATCTACAACTGGTGCAGATTTTCAGGCTCAGAAGTGGGATTCTTCGAAATATCTATCCAATTCTAGGAGCTTTAACGTTGACTTAGTTGAAAAAAAGTCAATGAGTCCTAACTTTTTTTCTCAAAATGTACCTATTTCTTCGATTTGATCTGAGATGCCGTATCTTTATCGGCTTTAGATAGATGACAATAGGAAATTAACATAGATAAAGATGCTTAAATATTCGTATGGAAATATCTCGATGGATGACGCAAAGTATCGTCGCGACCCCCAGCGGGTGGGTTATCTCGTGTTTTGAACGAATATCACAATAAGAGAGTACGCGGCACGATAATAGCTGCTGACTGTGGCATCATACCCTTGAGATTTAAATTATTTTTTATCCTTCTGTAGTGATATAAAATAATTTCCTTCCTAGATAAGCCAATATGAATTTAACATCCGAAAGTTTTTCTACGCATGGAAAAGATAGAGTAGCTATTATAAAAGTAACCTAATACAATAATATTTGAACACCTGTTTGCCAAAATTGTCTTGAACATTTTGAGATATCATAATTTTACGTACGGTTACCATGCAGTTAAAAGATAAAAATACGTTATTTAAATATTATTTGTAAAATAAGTGGTCATCTAAAATGTTAAACTATACGATCAAAAGGTTAATCGTCACCTCGTTGGACAAATAAACGTATTTTTAAATCGGGTTGTGGAGAAACTAGTCCTACGTTATAGTAAAAGATAAAAATCAACAAGCTCACCAGAGGTTAAATGAGGATCAAGTAGCAAGTAAAATCAAGATCTATCAGTTCGAACTCGACCCTCGTGATTTAATTATCATCCAGTGATTTTTAATTGATCTTGTTGAATGAGATTAGATTGAATCACAAAGATTACTCGGTTAAGTAATCATCTAATTTATGACCAATTACGTTAACATGACAGTTAATTTCAGAACAGAAATTACAGTCTATTTAAGGTTAATTAAAAAGAAATTAAATGACGCCCACTACGATCAAGTGAACTATAAGAAACAATAAAGCTTACTTAGGTGAATTTGGTCTTCAAGAAGGTCATATTAAGTACTTTCTTTCTGGTGCATACTCATTTTGTAGGGTTACAGTTTTATGCAAAGCAAAATGAAAATTACTTTAGAAGGAGAGATTTCATATTCCATAAAAATATTGTTCAATATTTCAGTGTTGCCTCCCAGTTCGAGTGATGAAACTCATCGGAGTACAAACATTGATCGCTACCAACGCCGCCGGCGGACTAAACCCGAACTACAAAATCGGGGACCTCATGATCGTGAAGGACCACATCAACCTGATGGGCTTCGCTGGGAACAACCCCCTCCACGGGCCCAACGACGAGAGATTTGGACCCCGTTTTCCACCGATGAACAAGGCTTACAACTTCGAATACAGAAAAATCGCTAAGGAGGTAAGATTTTGACAGAACTTACACGTTTTTGACGATAAAAATCTAAGCGAAAAGTATCACAAGAATACCTTGTTATGTATTGTTAAGTTTTTAAAAGCCGATTAAAATGATAAAAAATATACTTGTAATGAAAATAAACTTAAATTTTCGAGCAGAATAGTACATAATGTAGACAGAGTAAGTCATCTTAAAAAAGCCATCAGAGCAATTATTATTGAATTGCATTAAGCTTTATTGAATTTGTAATTAAAGGACATCATCCATTTTGGTCCAAAATCAAAAATGCCGGCCAAAAAATAAAAGTGCTGTATTCTGATAGAATACGTCCGCCTTAGCATTTATTACTATGGCACCAAAGCTGTAGCACCACTGTGCATCGTAGTATTTGAGTTCTAAAAATATATGAAACGACTGACTTTGATCTCAAATACTACGACGCACAGTGGTGCTACAGCTTTGGTGTCATAGTAACAAATGCTAAGGCGGACGTATTCTGTCAGAAAACAGCACTTTTTTTTTATTGGCCGACATTTTTGATTTTGAACAAAAAATGTATGAATCGTCGATGAATTTTAGATCTCAAATACTCGACGCACAGTGGTGCTACAGCTTTGGTGTCATAGTAACAAATGCTAAAGCGGACGTATTCTGTCAGAATACAGCACTTTTTTTTATTGGCCGACACTTTTTATTTTGAACAAAAAATGTATGAATAGTCGATGACTTTTAGATCTCAAATACTGGACGCACAGTGGAGCTACAGCTTTGGTGCCATAGTAACAAATGCTAAGGCAGACGTATTCTGTCAGAATACAACACTTTTTTTTGTTGGCCGGCACTTTTGATTTTGGACCAAAAATATATGAAACGTGGATGATGTCCTTTTTGACAATCACTTTATTGACAAACTCAGAGGCCTTTTATAACTTTTTTATCAATGTCAATTAAATATTATTATCATTATTACATAACTATAGCTAAATAATAAACTTGTTTATGTTTAATTTACGATATTTATGTTTATATTTGGTTAATTGGCCGCATAATTTTTCATGATAATAATACATAATATGAAAAATAAAACGCAAGCAATAGTGCGCAACTTGGAAGTCATTAACTTGAGTCCGATAACCTCCGGACCTAAGAAATAAGACAAACGTTACATACAACAGTTCAGTAATAAATAAAATCAATACATAGATCTCGAAAAATCTAAAGTTGATCAGTGTTTTATTGTCATCAATTCAGTGGCGTAGCTTGGGGGGGGCAGGGGGGGCCATGGCCCCGGGCGGCATATGAAAGGGGGCGGCGGATAAGAAAAAAAACATTGCATGAACAAGAAAAAAAAAGGTCGACTATGTCTACGTTGAGACTAACAAATCTAGCTATACTGGCAATTGAAAATGAGATACAATTTGATATCGACGATTGTGTAAAAGATTTTGCTTTGAAAAAAGCACGAAGAGTACCTAAATTTTTAANCGGCGAAAAGCCACGCTACGCCACTGCATCAATTAAACGACAACCGTGTATTTTAAGAATTAGTAGTTTCAAGCTGGAATTGTTAAGAATTTTGAATTTATTTTTGAGTAATTTCGTATTGGCCATAAAATAATATAAAATTAGTTACGATATTTTAAGGGCTTCATGTAGCTTCAAAACTTAAAGACTGATGTATGTTAACCTATAGTCTCAAGAAGTCTTAGTGTTCTTGATCTAAAGTCTAAAACGACATAAGTACGAACATATTTGATTTTATTGATATAACACGATCGACGTAAGGGATCTTGTCGTATCTATTGTAATTATCCTAGTTCCTACTTATCTAATTGCTCGTTTAGGTATGATCGTTCCGTACACTATGTGACCTATTAATGAGGCCCTGAGAACGGAGATATTGGATTTAGATAAGTAGATAATTACTGTCGGTTGACTTAACCCAAGTTGTGAAGGATGATTTATTTATCAATACCGGAATAATAAATAAATAGTTTTAGAACGCATTTGTGTTGATCACGTGAACTTATACGTCACACACGTCATACTACAAGAATACAACGTTCAAAATAATTCCAATTTAATCCTACCTAACTAATTAATAATTTCTAAAATGCTGAATCCAAAACAGAGTAAAATAGCGCGTATTGGGGGGAGACGTAATGTCCAGCCGTGGACTAGTAGGTACCTATGCGCGATGATGATATGGACGATAAATGGATGGATCTACCTTAGGATATTGTTTTCCAACGCAAAAAAAGCGAAAGAGGCTAATCGAAAAAAGAAATAGCATGATGAAATTTTAGGGTTACATCGCACAATTCACCAAAGCTGCCATGCTTCGGTTAACATTGCCTAATATGCTAAAGGAGATACACCTTATTCTTCCAGGTGGCCAAGGAACTGAACATCGACAACATAGTGCAAGAAGGCGTGTACACCTGTCTCGGCGGGCCGAACTTCGAGACCGTGGCCGAACTCAACATGCTGAAGATGGTCGGAGTGGATGCCGTGGGCATGTCTACAGTGCACGAGGTTTGTAACGCCTAGAACTTTCTTTAGTTCCAAATACTTAATTTAAACCCTCTTATTTATTAAAAAAAAGTATCGTTACACATGTAGTGTATCGCTACAAACACGCGTCAGCAGCGCGCTTAAAAAACATGGTGTGCACAGACCCTTAAAAATTACTATCGTAGCAAGATCATATATTTGAGAGAAAATGAGAAAGTAGATTAGCGTAAACGTTGATAGCATTGTTTGTTTAGTTTAAAAAAAAATCTTTTTTTTTCTGCTTAGGTACCATGCATATCGTGTACCTTTCTTACTTAAAAAAATATTTTTAATATCTGGGGGCACGGCAGTGCCCCCACCAAGTCGAGCAAAAAAGCGGCACGTCCGTACCATCCTTTTCTCGAAGCAATTCAGGCCATTTTCGACTGCCTGTAACTTCGTTGTGGATAAAACTAGAAGGCTGAATTTTCATTAGCTATGCAAGCATTGTAAAGACAAGGTATATTTAAAATTTCATTCAATTTGAACCAGTAGTTTAAGAATTATAACAGGTCAAAGTTACTTAATTTTGTCACTCACTGACTCACCGATTATCAAAACTCTAAGGCACTTCTAGCAGACCTAGAAGCTTCAAATTTGGAATATAAGTAGTGTTTGGTGTATGAATCAAGGAAAAACTAAAATATTTGGGGGCACGGTAGTGCAACCAAGCAAGCCAAGTCGAGTAAAATTTTTCAATTTCGGTCCAGTTTTCTAGATACATGAAAACACGTGTAAATTAAATTATTTAGTGCGATGGCCAAGTCAATATATTTATGTAAAACGTTAAAGATTTCCTGGCCTGGACTTGGTATTACATGGATCTCACAACTTTTTACCGTAGAACAACTGAGTTGCGAGACTTGTTTTTTTTGACAAGTATTGTTTTTGATGGGATCATGTATTCTCATTCCAGGTTATCATAGCGCGGCACTGCGACATGAAGGTTTTCGGTCTATCTCTGATCACGAATGAATGCGTCACGAGCTACGACCATGACTCCGAGGCGAACCACGAGGAAGTGTTAGACGTGGGCCGCATGAGACAAGACATGCTCCGCAAATACGTATCCCGACTAGTGCAGAGGTTCGCCAGTTCAGACGACGCGTCCCCATGAAGTTTGGACTGCCTTGAATTGGAAATTTCCGAAGCACTGATAGCGGAAAAGACGCTTTGATGATAAGACAATTTTGTAGTTAAGCGAGAAACTGTCATCTTGACACAGATTAGAGCGTCTTTTCTGTGTGGGGACCCCATAGCTCTAAAATATTTTAAATTTTTGTTTCATTTAGAAAAATATGATAAGTAACATACTGTTAATAGATATCGACTGTTGTGCGGTCAATGTATGTATAAAACCCCTTATGTATGTCTGTGTTCAATTTAAAATTAGATAAAATACTTCAAGAAAACAAATACACATACCTACAATAATTTATTATAGACTTACTAAACATTACTTAATAAATTATGAATAAATAAATAGTAGAACAAAAATGATACTTAAAATAGTTATCATAAAATTAAGATAAGTTTAATGTAATAGTTAAATAAAATAATAATATAAAGATATAAGTAAGTACACGAATTTTAATCAATTTTTATTATGAAATCTTTTTTGATCTGTTTATTATATTTTTTTAAGAATTATTTAAGCTATCTTTACTTACTTCATGATCTTAAAACCCACAAAAAATATGTTTTATCTATTTATTTTTTAAATAAAATATTTATTTTTAAACTGAATGTGTAATTAATTGAAATAAACAATATGTTGTACTCGTACTGTAAGAAATGATAGCCAAATTGCGATTTTATCAGTCACTTCTTAAACTAGTAATAGTGTTTAGGTTTAATACATAGATAAATAATACATATTAAAAGGCTTATGAACAATATTAACACTTTTTATTTACGTATATTTACAAGTATATAATAAAATCTTAAATAGAAATATAAACAATAAAATTACTACACAAACCTACAAAATGCTGTTGTGATGTAGAATTTGATATAAATTGTAATAACAGTTACATTTTTACACTGTGAAACATTTTTAAGATCAGTTCACTATTTATAAACAATTTCTACATAAATTACTGAGGCATTTTGAAACGAACTGCTGCACAATAATTTATACGAAGAGAAATTGATGTACCTACTTTAATGGGTGCTTCTTTGGGCATAGATGTGCGAATTCCTTGCAGGCCTCATCAATATCGCCATACCGATATTTGAAGCCGTACTCAAGTACTCTCTTAGGTATGACGTGTTGACCTTTGGTCATGATCATCGCGCGTTCAGGGTTGAGTAAGAAGTCCAGCATTGTCTCAGGTACAGGCAGGAATGCTGGTCGCCGCAATGCTTTGGCAAAAGACTGAAAAGGTAAAAGAAGGCACTATGTTTACCACACTTTTGTTATAATATTTTCACAACATATATCACAACATCACACCACAATTTCTTTAAAAATGCCTGGCCAGAAAGAGTAAAAGAAAATGATGACATCAGTTTTGCTTAAAAATAACTTTGGCACATATACATTTTATTATGCACTATTTTTTATCTCACCTGTGTAAATTCTTCATTAGTAATAACATGAGGAGCAACACCATTTAGGATGCCTTCAACGTGATCATTTTCAATGGCGAAATGAACAAGTCGAATGAGGTCATCTATGTGAATCCAGGGCAGGTATTGCTTGCCCGACCCAATCCGACCACCAACACCCATGTAGAATGGAAGGAACATGTTTTTTATCATACCACCCCATCGGCCTAATACAGCACCAGATCTTATTATCACCTAGAAAAATTTATAAAATAGTAGATTGACTTTATAATGACCTTTATGCACATTAGTGTATCAATGATGTCCTAGAGTCAATGTCATTCTTTAAATACTTCTTATTATTCAGATGAAAATTGTTTAGATCCATAAAATCTATGTCTCTTGGCACCAAACCAAAATTTTACTGCTTTGCATACTACTTTTATAGAGTACTATTGAAATCTAAATAGGATTAGATTGCTTTACTTACAAGTCTTACAGGTGGATCAATACTGGCAGCTTTCTCCCATTCAACAACAAGCCTTGAGAAAAAGTCAATGCCAGTGATAGGGCTACTCTCATCATATTTTTTGGTGTCTGAAGGTTCATAGGCACCAACACCAGTGACCACAATGAAAACTTTTGGCTTATCCTTGCTTTCGTTTATAGCTTTAGCCAATGCTTTGGTTGTGTAGACTCGAGAGTTCTGCACATTTTGTTTGAATCTGGAATTTAGTTTTATACATTCAGAACATAAGTTTTCATTGGTAAAAAATAATGTTAAAAAGAATCTTTTAGGCTTGCTAAGTTCTGTGTTAAGTAGATTAGATATATTAGCAGATAGGTTCATGTGGTTATCAATACTAACCCAGGTGTCCAGGATTTGGTGAAGTCCATAAATTGTTGTCCAGCACAGTTCACAACAGCACAAGTTCTTTTTGGCAAGCCGGAGTGTTCCAAGGTGGACCAGGATATGTTGCTGGTCCCAGGCATTCGTGCCACGTTCACGACATTGTAACCATTTGCCATGAGCAGTTCGCCCAAGTTCTTCCCTATGAAGCCTGTACCTCCACCTGTAAAATGAACATTACCAAAGATATTAATCAATCATAATGTTTATGCCTGAACAAATAAAAATAATCTCAAACATGCGCGTATATAGCGGGGGGGCCGGGGTAGCACGCCCCCCAGAATGTTCTGAAAATACTACTTGGTTAATAAAGCCCTATATGGATTTTATAACTAATAACAGAAAGTATGTTTGCCGGCCGGCTATTCAGTAACTATTAGCTGGGCATTCATACTTTCAGTTACATTAATAGCACGATTGTGTTCTGAGATTCACACACAAATAATTACTCTAATTTCAACGGTAAAAACTGTTTTGATATTTACCGATCAAGACATTTCTTGCTGCCATTATATTTTATTATGTAACACTAAAGTACACAGATGCCGGTAAAACGATTTTAGATAGAGCTTTAAACAAGCTTGAATAGCTTAATTTTATTCAACACGTTCATGTAAATTATTTACGAAAATATTTTTATATAGATGTTTTTTACGTTTGGATTTTGTTTTCGTTTTACTGAAATCAGCTGTCTGTCTGACAACAAATTTCCAGTGACACTGATGACAGCTTTTCTTTTTTTGTTCAAAGTCATTATTACTATACAGCATTTTCTTATTTACTTACATTACAATGCATGCACCATTGCACGTTCACGAACATCTAATGATAAATAATCCACCATTAAATCATTAATTTAGCAAAATAAAACAAAACTGATGGACATGACGCTTTTCTTTCCCGCCAAGAAGTCCTAGATTTTTTTTAACATTTAACCGCTGAATTCCGAAACAGTCTACCTTTTTAATATGGCGTAACGGAAGTTAACGGAACGTATTCCAAATGTCACTACTGTCACTACACAAAAAAAAACAATACATCAAAAACTTAAAAAACTGTGATTTCAGTTTATTAATTTTATTAACTTATTTACTTATTTGCTCGGCATTTTATCCGGCAGGTCATATTAGTTACAATGATAACACTGTATGTCAATAATGGAGTTGCCTATGTGTGGAATTCAGAAGGTGATTAAAATTTTATAGTTTACCTTTTACTTTTTTACTTGTCCGTTCTTTTCTATCAAACTAGTCTAAAATAACAATGTTTTATGATTTTTCAGATTGGTATATTCTACGGTCAAAACATCGCATATGCGGATCTTTGATTGGTTCAGTAGCATCATTTCCTCGTCAAAATGATTTTAATGGTACTGTTTATGATGATTTTTATATAATGAACCCTTAAATTGCCAACAGCACTTACATACTTCTTGCTAAATCAATACTTGCTATGTCCTCTAGGTTTACCCATGGCTCTTATGTCGGAGGAGGCAGCCTTACTCGTAAACAATAATATTTGTGAACTAGTTGAATTGCCACAACTATGTGATAAGCCATCGGAAAGTGTCAAAAAAGAATTTACAGAATGTGAACAAAGGTGAGCTTTTCTTTAATTTGAAGATTGGCAAATAAATAAATCTATCTTTAACATTAATTTCAGTCATAATCATCATTTTCATGTTTATGATATTTTCAGGGTAAAAGAAGAACAAACTGAGGATTTGAGAAAACGAAAAATTGAACAAATGAAACAAAAAATACATTTGATAGTTGCTGGTAAAAAGCAAAAATTAGCAGCTAAGGGAATAACAGGTAGGTCCACTATTATACTGTAAAAAATATTTTAAAAAGTTTGCTTATGAAGAACACTTACAAATCTCTGTGATCTGTGATACTTTAAATTTATTATCTACATATTTTATTTTTTACAGATGTTGAATTAGACCATCAGACATTATTACAAGAGGAGATTGATAAGTTGCCTAAAGTGGCAGCTGCTCACCTTCTAGTACACCTTCCCACTGAACATTTTATAAGCACAGGTTGTTTTAACATTAATAAGCTTCAAAAATATCTATAGAACTCTGCATGATAGTCAATTTTCCTTTATTTGGCATATTAACAAGGCAATGGCTTGCTATGAATGAATTTATTTGTTCAGTGTTTAAGTACAACTTTTATTTATGTTTTTTTTTATCAATTTCAGATAAAAAGCATGTCTCTCTAGACATGTTGAAACCTAGTGTTGTGGATGTAGAAGGTGCCTTGCGCTGCTCTGTGTTTAGTGATCTCTGGAGGAAGGGTCATTACATTACCAGTGGCTCTAAATTTGGATGTGATTACTTAGTATATCCAGGTATAGTAATAAAAAATAAATATTTTATTTTAATATTGTGTAAGTACACTGGTAATAAATTGTTTTTTGTATTCCAGGAGATCCTGTGAGGTTCCATGCCAGTTATATGGTGCGCTGTATACATGACCACCAGACTGCTTTTCGTCCTGCAAACATAGTGGCTTTTGGAAGATTGTCAGTAGCTGTTAATAAAATGGCTGTGTTTGCATTCTGTACTAGCAATGGAAATGTTGATTATCAAACACTACAATGGCATGATAATGTTGTAAATGGATAAAATTGGAGTTTATTTTAATCAATTATCCCCTATTAGTCATTTATCTTGTTTTGAAGAAGGTACTTGGGTTTGATGCATAAGTAGGTAATTAGGGCGCACTATTCTGTCTCGAATCAAGTAGTTTTTAAAATTTTTGAAACGAGTAGGTACCTAAATTACAAGATACTGTAGATGTTTTGCAGATAATGGGGTTTAAAGCATCTGTTTATGCTATTGCTTTTACCACGGCTTTTTAAAGCCGGGCTTTTACAGACTGAAAGCTTCACCTTCAGAGCCACTGTGCTGCAAACTGCAAAGTTTTGTTAGTAGCGTCACGGTAATACTATCTATACAGTATTCCAACTCGGCTATATTTTTTAAATAAATGTCAACAGCCGCGCGGTACGTCACCGTATGACAACATGCGATAGGGCTGCCCACCTGCAGACCCTATTTTCATTACATAGATCTGCCTACTTAGAATTTCGGTGCAGTCCTGTTGTCCCCCCTGCTTGGCCCCCCTGGGGGAGCCAACAGGATTTCGAAATCCTGTTGTCCCCCCTGGCTAGGGGAGACAACAGGACTAGATTTTCAATCAATGATTTGAGGACTGTTGTCCCCCCTGGCAAACATTGGGTATTTAGAAACCATATACTTTTGTAACATTTAAGAAGTACTGGAGTACCTACCTGACTAAATGCCATATTGACAAACTAAATACCTAAACGTATGTCAAATAATAATTAACATCTTGTTAACGAAAGAAATATAAGTTGTTGGTACCGGTAATATTTCTGAGTGTCCAACATCTGCTTTACTTGCTTTTAACAGATCGTTATGAATTATCCCTACTAAATAATATTATACGAGTAAATGCGATAGTACTTTATCTGTCTGTCTGTTACGAATTCAAGCATAAACCATTGAACCGATTTTTATATTTGGTAAAGAGATAGTTTTGAGTGCCGGGTCCCGGTTTTTTAAACAGGAATGCGCTCTATTATTTTTTTTGTGACAGACATAATTTTATGCGGACAAAGCCGTGGGCAAAAGCTAAGCTTAATGCTTGACTATATTTTTTATTCTCATGTATAATAAATAATAATAATAATAAATATTGTCTTCTGTAAAGTTGACTAAAAATCCGTTTAGTAGGTAGTTTTTACGTGAAAGAGTATCAAACATCTATACTATTCCATACTCCCATTTGTAATATTAGTAGGTAGGACGCTAAAACTGCATAGTATTCAACAAATTAATTGCTCAGTGATTCATCATTCAACTAGCGGCCGCCCGCATCTTCGTACAGGCACAGAATAACAATAAGGTACAGGTACGAAGATGCGGGCGGACCTACGCGTGGACACCGTTTTACCCCCTTATGTGTGGAATTTCGTAAAATCCTATTATATGTTTCGTATTATTTCCTATCCTTAAATAAATAGATAAATAAAATTCGTTCTTGGTCAGATGTCTACACCCTATAAGGAACCTACCTGCCAAATTTCAAGTTTGTAGGTGTCAGTACCGGCACCAACTTTATTTTTTTCGTTATCAAAATGGTTATTATTATTTAACAAACGTTTAGGTATTCACTCATTTTGGGAATTTGGCATTCAGTCAAGTACTTCAGTATTTCACAAATTATGTTATAAAAATACATGGCTTTTAAATAATGTTTGCTAGGGGGGACAACAGTCCTCAAATCATTGATTGAAAATCTAGTCCTGTTGTCTCCCCTAGCCAGGGGGGACAACAGGATTTCGAAATCCTGTTGGCTCCCCCAGGGGGGCCAAGCAGGGGGGACAACAGGACTGCACCAGAATTTCTATCTAGTTTTGTGATTGTAATTTTTTTTTATTTTAAAAAACAAAATACTTCGTGAATGAAATAGGATATAATGCATGTTGTTTTGTGATTAGTTGATTTAATAAAAAAAATATATTTGAAGATGATGTCACTGACTTCACCATACCATTTATACGCTTATGTTAACATGGGCTAGTGTCGGCTTATAAACCCATTTACCTAACACCCTGTATTTATAAATAGGTAGGTACTTGTAATTATTTTTATTAAAAAAAGAGCGCTTACTGTTTAAAAAACAACACATCGTCTTTTTATTACTGTGGCTCATTCGCGACACCCCCGACTTTTGCATGTCGAGCGCATACCGAGATTTGAATTTCGAAGGAAAGCTCGCGTTTCGTCCGTTTATATGAAGTTACAATACTGTATGATAGTATTACCGTGGTAGCGTGTGCACCTAAACTCTGATTTTTAATTCGACGGAATTTTGACATTTCATAAGTGTTGTCAACATTGAAACATTCCCACTAAGAATGGAGAGCATTTTCACAAATTAAAAAATAATCCTTTCTTGAATTTAAGGTTTCACTTGAAAAACTAAGGTTTAAAAATGTACTGATAATTTCAAAATGGTTATTTGAATTTTTATTATCATATTTTGGAAGTTACAAAAAAAATTGGGAAATTATTTTTCTATTACTTGACTCCCTGGCCAGTAATCCATGGGTTACAAACCTTTTTTATGAAAATCCTTTTGTTAATAAAATCTTAGCTTCATAAAATAATCAATTTAACAAGATGCCTATTTTATAATCTAAGTTGATTATGATGACGACAATGATGATTGATGATCAATACATATTTTCGTTTATGTTAATATGTTGTTTTACTGTGTTAAAAACACGTTCTTTTCTATTTAATCTCTAAAATGTACATAATAATTAGTGCACATTGAATTCACAATACAAACAATAGTTCTTTCTTGTAAGTTGTACTTGATGAAATTTCATTTCATATTATTTATTATTAATTCAAAGCAAAAAAGGCTTATTACATCTGAATTGTCAAAAAATGACAGCTGTCAGAATTCCGTCGAATTAAAAATCGGACTTATAGCTTAAAATTTGAAATATTTTTTTTTTCTGGAAAAAATCCAAAACCTCAATTTCAATCATTTTCAATGTCTGTCTGAAATGTCTGATGTTGAAAGAAAAAAAACAAACGTCAAACGATACGTCAAAGAAACGTCAAAAATTCAAGCTTGATTTCGAAAAAAAATTGCAATTCGTGATTCATCCTTTCCATTTTTACTAAATTAATCGTAATATAATATAACTATGGATGATCCAGAACTTCAGAAAATAAGGCAACAACGTCTTGCACAGTTGCAGTCTCAACATGGGGTAGGTATGATAGGTTATAAAAATATCCAATTTAATAGCATTAAAAATATTATTTCCCGTGAAACTAATTGATTTCTTTTTATATTTAAGGGCACAGGAGATCCAAATCATGCAAAAGCTCAAGAAGAAAGAATGCAGGCCATGGAGGAAGCGAAGCACACAATACTAGCCCAGGCACTTAGTCAAGATGCAAGAGCCAGATGTAATTATTACTGTTAATGTTTGAGCAGGATAGCATTGTATCAAGATTTTCGAATTACCATGATATTTTAAATATAAGAAAGTCCTAAAACATAATCTTACTTGTAGGTTTTGTACAAGCGAAGTGAGATTTATAGTATGTCATTCTGATTCAGTAAAACAATGTTACAAAGTTGTTGTTTTTATTGTTTCATCATATTTATAAATAGTTGAACACAACTGCTTACACATTTAATTACCCTATTATATTTTTGATTACAGTAAATAACATCAAACTCAGCAGACCTGAAAAAGGTGCTATGGTGGAGAATATGATCTGTAGAATGACACAAATGGGCCAAGTTCGTGGCAAGATATCGGAACAAGAATTGATACAACTGGTGGAGTCTCTGAACCAGCAAATGCCCAAGTCTACAAGCACTGTCAAGTTTGACAGAAGAAGAGCGGCCCTCGACTCCGATGATGATGATTTCTAACAGACTGACACTACTTTAAGTTATGAAGCAATACACAAATTTGCAATGCCTTAATAAAATATACCACAGTTACTTTTCAAATACCTAATCTGTTTCATTACATTGCTTGTTATAATAATTGTTTGCTTTTTCAATTCAACTTCAATAACTCTGCTAAAAAGATTTAGAATATTACATAATTTGTATGTATTTAAATACTAAATATTCTATTTAATTTCTAAGACATTAAAGTTACTTCTTATATTTTAAAAGTCTTGACTTTATTTATATTAAAAAGAAATCCCTGTTTTATTTCATAGAACTTGAAAATAGTTTTAAGAACTTAAGTCTTATCTCATATTCTTGATTAGTTTACTTGATTTTAATCTCAGGCTTGCTTGATACCCATAAGTACCCTTTTCTCCCAAGTCTGCTAAAAATTACTTTAGTGGACTTTCGAATCTACTTTATGTACCTAGGTGACTATCGTAACCCGATATCCGAAAGCCGGTAGGAGACGAGTAGACATTCACATAATCCTAATCAATAAACGACATTAGACAATAGGATATTATCCTTTTTCTTATTTATATTATCTATTTTCTTTGGAATACCTAAGGAAGCTCTAGTGATGCCGCGCGCCGGGTTAGTTTAAACTAGGATTCAAGAAAATTTTAACGGCATTAAAATTTAAGATGCGCGTTTTGCTGACAAAAAATTTGAAATTATCAAGGGCATAATAATGATATCAGGATTAAATTGCTTACGAGGTAGTAAGTAAGCTTGTTAACAGTGATTTTTTAAAGATATCGATACATGTGTAGTTTGCAAATTATCATTTAATAACCTTATCAATTTAATTCAAGTTATAAAAGCCAGTGACAAGACATTCATCCATGAATGTGTTTCGAAAACGCAATAATGTTGCGCGGAGCATTGCTTGTGCTATGTGTTGGTGTGGCGGCGGTGGCCAGTTCCCCGCAAGCCGCGTACATCGAGGCCTTATACAAGACTTCGCAGGGCGCCAGGATATCTGATAACATCTTAGAAGATGCTTCTTTAGATGTGGTGAGTGATACTGGACCATCGAAAGCCCACATTCAATTTCTATTTAAGTTTTAAGTGTTAAAAACCAGTGTTTGTTTTAGCCGGAACTCGTCAGAAAGTACAGATACCCTCTTGAGGTACATTCCCTAACCACGGAAGATGGGTACATATTGGAAATGCACCGCATTCCTCACGGACGCGACCGTAACAATGTACCTGGCTCCAGGCCTATCGTGTTCTTGATGCACGGTCTTCTGTCATCTTCTGCTGATTGGGTTTTGACCGGTCCTGGGTGTGCCTTTGGTAAGAGTTTAATCAATATAGTACCTACTTAGCTAGGTAGTACTTAATTGATCTATGATTACTGACGCAGTAGAGGGTTAAG